GGTGGCGGCCACTTGATGTGTCCCTTTCATGTCGATGTTTCTCGCTCTCTCTTCCTCTCTCTCCTGCTCTGAATAAAAAATGGAAAAATGTCCTCAGGTGAGGATAAAAAAAACGGTGAAAGTGGGCATTATTGTCTTGTTCCTAAACTTTTATTTTTATGTTTAATTTTTATTTTATTGTTGACAGTATTACAGATGTCTCCCATTTTTTCCCTTTTTGCCCCCTCCACCTAACTCCCTCCCCACCCTATCCTCATTTCCTCCCTCCCTGCCTCCCTCCTCTCTCCCTTTCTCTCTCTCTCTCAAATCAATCAATAATATTTTTAAAATATCACTGTGGTTAAAAAAGATGCTTGATAGGATTTCAGTCTTCTTAAATTTGACTGGCTTTGTGGCCTAACATATGGTCGAACTTGGAAATTTTTCCATGTGCACTTGAGAAGTTTGTTTATTCTGCTACTTTGGGATGGAATGTTCTCTATATATCTGTTAAGTCTGTCTGATTGAACATGTTGTTTAAGGTTGATATTTTCCTACTGACTTTCTCTGGGTGATCTAGCCATTGATGTATGTGGGGTATTAAAGTCTCCTATTATTATATTGCTGTCTATTTCTCCCTTTGGGTTGTTAATATTTGCTTATATATTTAGGTGTTTCTATGTTGGGTGTATAAATATTTTACATTTATTATATCCTCTTGTTGGATTGGCCCCTTTATAATTATGTAATACCCTTCTTTGCTGCTTCTTATAGTCTTCATTTTGAAGTCTGTTTTGTCTAACATAAGTATAGGTACCCCCACTTTTTTTTCCCCCATTTGCTGGGAATATCTTTTTCCATCTCTTCACTTTCCATCTGTGTGTGTCCTCGTATCTGAAATTAGTCTCTTGTCAGTAGCATATAGATTACTGCTCTATGGTGTCTTTTGGAGAATTTAGTCTGTTTACATTTAAAGTAATTGTTGATAGGTATGTGCTTATTGCCATTTTGTTCATTGTTTTGTGACTTCGTGTACTCCCTCTCTGTTCCTTTCCTCTTCTCTTGCTCTCTTCTTAGTTGTGGTTTGATGACTTTCGTTAGTGGCATGCTTAGATTCCTTTCTCATCTTTTGTGTATCTTCTATAGGTTTTTGCTTTGTTGTTTGCATGAGGCTTACATATAACAGTCTATATTTATAAGTCTGTTTTAAGTTGATAAGTTTAAACACATTCTAAAGTTCTACATTTTTACACTCTCCCCAACCACATTTTATGTTTTTGATATAACATTTTACATATTTTTATCTCTTGTATCCCTTAATTATTGTAGTGATAGTCATTTTTACTATTTTTGTCTTTTAACCTTCATAGTAGTTCTGTAAGTGATTATTCCACTACCTTTATTATATATTTACCTTTACCTGTGAGATTTATACTTTTATATGTTTTCTTGTTACTAATCAGCACCCTTTATTTCAGTTTAAAGAATTCCTTTTAACTCTTTGTAAGGCCACTTAATCATGATGAACTCCTTTAGCTTTTGCTTGTCTGGAAAAAATGCTCTCCTTTGATTCTGAATAATAGTTCTGCCAGGTGGCATATTCTTAGTTGTAAGTTGTTTTCTTTCAGCACTTTGAGATATGTTTGTTATCTTGATGGTTTTTAGGGAATATATATCTATGTTAAAGTTCATCAAATTTTGTACTTTATGTGCAGTTAATGCCGCTTATACCTCAAAGCTATTTTTTTTTTTTTATCCTCACCCGAGGACATTTTTTCCATTTTTTGTTCAGATAGAGTGGGAGGGAGGGAGGAAGGGAGAAGAGAGAGAGAGAGAGAGAGAAACATCGACATGAAAGGGACACGTCGAGTGGTTGCCACCCACACGACCCAACCAGGGCCGGGGATAAACTGCAGCCGAGGTACATGCCCTTAGCGGTAACCGAACCTAGGTCTCTCAGGACCGCAGGCCAATGCTCTAACCGCTGAGCCAAACCGGCCAGGGCCAAAGCTATTTTAAATTTTTATTTTGGAGAATAAAAACAGTTATTGGTCTGTAAGAACTCAAGAACTATTGTTTTCAAGAGCCCTTCTTGAGGTTTACTAGAAAATAATCTTCATACAACAAAAATGACTAGAAAGACATTTATACAGGCATACCTCGTTTTATTGCACTTGGCTAATATTGTGTTTTTTATAAATTGAAGGCAAGACCCTCCCACCAGCAAAAAGATTACAACTTGCTTTATTTTGATACTTTATAGCAGTGGTCTGAACCAAATCTGCACTATCTCCAAGGTATGCCTATAAAAATATATACAGTTAATGGTAGAGAACTAAGACTAAATGAGGGTAGAAGGCATAATGTAGGATGTATTGACCATGTGCTCTTCTAAGGCAGATAGAGTACAACTATTAAAAACAATGTGGCAGCCCAGCTGATGTGGCTCAGTGGTTGAGCGTCCACCCATGCACCAAGAGGTCGCTGGTTCGATTCCTGGTCAGGGCACATGCCCAGGTTGTGGTCCCGATCCCACAACCTGGGGGGCATGCAGGAGGTAGCCAATCAGTGTTCTCTCTTATTGATGTGTGTGTGTGTGTCTCTCTCTCTCTCTCTCCTTCCCTCCCCCCCCCCCCCCCCCCGCCTTTCCTCTCTCTCTAAAATCAATAAAGAGAAAAACAGTGTGGCAGCCCTCGCCGGTGTGGCTCAGTGGCAGTGGTTAGAGCAGTGGTTCTCAACCTGTGGGTTGCAGCCCCTTTGGGGGTCGGACGATCCTTTCACAGGGGTCACCTGAGACCATCGGAAAACACCTGTTTCCAATGGCGATTCATAATAGTAGCAAAACTACAGTTATAAAGTAGCAATGAAATATTTTATGGTTGGGGGTCACCACAACATGAGGAACTGTATTAAAGAGTTGCGGCATTAGGAAGGTTGAGATCCACTGGGTTAGAGCATCGGCCCTCACACCAAAGGGTGGTGGGCTCAATTTCTGGTCAAAGACATGTACCTGGGCTGCAGGTTCGATCCCATCGCATGCTGGAGGTGACCGCCTCCACTCTCTCTAAAAATCAGTGGAAAAGTACCCTCAGGCAAGGATTAACAAAGAAAAGAAAAGCTGTGGCATACAAGCAGCTGGAGATCCATATTTTTCATGTTAACACCATACACATACAGTCACCACCACCCCCCCCCCCAAAATGGGGGGAGAGTGGGAAGAGCATTGCAAACACTTTATTAAACAGTTTAAGAATTAGCCTTGGCCATTTTGGCTTAGTGGTTTGAGCATTGGCCTGCGGACCAGCGAGTCCGGGTTCAGTTCCTGCTAGGGGCACATACAAAAAAAAATTTTTTTTAAACAAGATTTTAGGAATTATACTGGCAATATTATTCTAAGACTGTGTGAAATAGGATAATTACATGGCAGTGAGCATCCCTAGCACCAGATTATAGTCTTTTTTGTTTTTTGTTTTTTTTGTTTTATTCTCACCCGAGGACATTTTTCCATTTTTTTGTTCAGATAGAGTAGGAGGGAGAGAGAGAAACATCGACGTGAAAGAAACACATCAAGTGGCTGCCTCCCGCACGACCCAACCAGGGCCGGGGACAAACTGCAGCCAAGGCAAGTGCCCTTAGCAGAAACCGAACCCGGGTCTCTCTGGACCGCAGGTGGACACACTAACCGCTGAGCAAAAGTGGCCAGGGCCAGATTATAGTCTTAAATATAGTTTCTTACTAAAGGAAACCAGGGCTCTCGAGGAAATGGCCAATTCCAGGTCTGAGGCAGGAAATGTACAAGATGAGCTTGTACATCTTGTCATATCAGATTGAAAAAAAATAGTCAAAGTCATACTTTGACATACTAGGTAGTCAAAGGAGCCAACCTGAACGGGTTCACAGTACCAAAGATGGGCAGTGTGAGTGTCAAAAATGAGAATAATTGCAGTGAACTGAAACCTGTCAAATATGCTTAGATCCATGAGTTCATAAATTTAAGATAGAATCGATCATCTTTGCAGAATGTTAGGGAATCAGTTCAGAAAGAATCAAGTATATCCTGCCTTTCCTATCTCACCTATACTCTCTGGGCAACCAAATATGAATGAGGGGAATTGCCCCTATCTAGAGTATTCCATGTAATAAATGGCAAAGAAATGAATGAAATTACAGTATCACCATTTTGTAACCCTTAGTAAATTAAGAGAGGCATAAATTATTGACAGGTGTTAGCAACATAGAGAGAGAGACATACGGCAGCATATGCATCCTGATGAAAGAATACACCACCACATATATTCTTGGCAAAGGGATCAAACCTGGGTCTGATCCAGTCATGGATCCAGCTGACAATTTAGGAATTCAGAGGAACATGTTGAACTGAGTAAGCAACAGCAGAAACCAACCTGACAAACTCTACAGGTCAGATGACAGTGATTCTTCAACAGAAAAATGGTAAGGAAAAAAAGAATGAGAGGAGGAATCTATGAATTAGGAGCTGTAAATAACATCCATAAAAATACTTAAACAGCAAGGCTAAAATTTAGTGTCAGGATGCACATTTGAGTGACAAAACTAAAACAAGAAGAGAAGTCAGGATAACAGGTACTTACGGGGGTCAGGGAGGGGGCTATGATTTAGGTAGGACATGACGACAGGGCTTCCTGGGTAAATTGCAGTCTTATTTCTTGACCTGGTGGTGGTTATACAAGCTTTAGAGTGACTCACTAAGTCATATACTGACTATGTATTGTTTTCTGAATCTGCTGTTCTTTCATATATTTGAAAAATATTCTGTTTCTTAAATTCCTGAGTCCCTAATTCTTACTTTAAATACATATTGCTGAAAAATATACACACTTACAGGGATCCTTAAAGGAGAATTATGAGTGGCTAATCTTAGTTCATCAAAACAGCTTGAGTCTTGAGGCTTAGAGAGGAAGTGAGAGCAGCCTTGGGTCTGCCAAAGCATGTTCTATCATTGCCAGGCAAAAGGGCCAAGTCACAAGTCCCCCTCCTTACAGATTGGCTGCAACGCCGTCAGCTGGGCCCCTGCTGTTGTACCTGGAAGCCTCATAGACCAGCCATCGGGGCAGAAGCCCAACTACATCAAGAAATTTGCCTCAGGTGGCTGTGACAACCTCATCAAGCTATGGAAGTAAGTGGGTTTGGTGGACTTCTCAAGGGAAACTTCTTACCTTTTACCCTGCCTACCATGACCCAGCCACGTTACAGAAAAACAGGATCACCTTTCTTTTTCCTCTTGCCCGTAGAATACTAGTTTCAATGTCAGAGGACATCCTTTTTAAAAAAAAAAAAAAAAAAAAACTTGCCTTTTGCTCAGGCACTTTTACTCCTCGCCTAATTCCTAACTGCTAGAGCTGACTTGGCTGTGGAAGAACAGTGCATTATAGCTGGTGAACTGGATAAAATCCTACAGGTTCAGCAAATGAATCAGAAAGACAGAATAGCCTCTTAGCCCCTGTGGAACTTACAATGTGGAGAAGGAATAGAGGTGTGGGAAAGGCTTCTGGGCTGTTACATGATTCTCTTCTGATCCCCCCCCCCCCCCATTAGGGAGGAGGAGGACGGCCAGTGGAAGGAGGAACAGAAGCTGGAAGCACACAGTGACTGGGTTCGAGACGTGGCCTGGGCCCCTTCCATTGGTCTACCCACCAGCACCATCGCCAGCTGTTCCCAGGTCAGCTCAGACCCATGAGAGCGTCCGATGTTATTTAACCTCTCAGTGAGTTCCATCAGCCCTTACAGTCCCCTTAGGGGAAAGGTCTTGAAAGGTAAGGGCAGGGCAACAGACACCTTTGGGCCAGTGCAGGTAGTGGACGGTGTGGAGCCAAGTCATCACACAGTGAACTGTTGATCCAAAGCCACAAGTGGCTTACCTCCACTAAGCCAAGGGCAGGACCCGTTCCCCTCCTGATGGTGTATGAGTAGGTGGAGGTGCTCAGGTGCAGTTCTGAGAGAGTGTTCCCAGCAGGGACCAGGGCAATGGGAAGGTCTGAGATCCTAGTCACCTACTGTTCACTCTTCCCAGGCAGATCACAAAAGTAAGACCAAGGACAAGCCTTTAATTATACGCTACCAACACTCTAAGCAAGAATTAAGTCAGGCAGCCAGGCCTTTTATATAATTTGTGCCTGTTTTGATTAGTCCTTAATCTGAGAGGGGTTTTTTTTCTCCCTTTTCATTCTCTGAGTTTGGTTTTTAACCATCCATATCCATTCAGTTGAGAAAGTGTGGACAGAGCCAGAGGGAACTGAAACAAGGAAGTGACTTTGCAGACATAAGGAAAACCCCAGAGAAAATTTGAGAGTTAGCAGTGCTAACAAAGAATATACCTGAAACCAATATGAGGAAAGGAACCTGGGAGATTTTTTTTTAATTGTATTTTTTGATTTGAGGGAGAGAGAAAATATGGATTGGTTGTTCCTTGTAATGTTCCATTTCGTTGATTCTTGCATGTGCCCTGACCGGGGATCAAACCCACAGCCTTGGCATATCAGGATGACACTACCTGGCCAGGGCCAAGATTCTTAACCTATGTGAAATGTATTCCAGGATAAAAGGGATAAAGGCAAGGGTACTGGGCTGGAAATTGGCCCTCAAAGCTGTGGAAACCCAGGAGGTCCTTGGGTATGCTTTGCACTGAATCCCCTACCCTATTCCTGCAAAAGCCCAGTATGGTTCCAGATGGGGAGGATAACACCAGTGCAGGATCTCTGCCCCCATCACTTGACTCTCCTGTCTTCCCAGGATGGACGTGTGTTCATTTGGACCTGTGACGATGCTTCAAGCAATACGTGGTCCCCCAGACTACTGCACAAGTTCAATGATGTTGTATGGCACGTGAGCTGGTCCATCACAGCCAACATCCTGGCCGTCTCAGGTGGCGATAATAAGGTACACATTATTTCCGTGACCTGGTGGACCAGGCTCCATTTGTCTTTGCCCACTGGAAAATGCAGTTGAATATCCCATCTAATGGCAGGCTTGGGGAGAACCTTCATGAGGACTGCATTTTGAGTATGTATCCTAATTACATTCTTAAATCTTACTACCCCCTAAGACAGTGGCTCTCAACCTTCCTAATGCCGTGACCCTTTAATACAGTTCCTCATGTTGTGGTGATCCCCAACCATAAAATTAGGCAACCCCTGTGAAAGGGTCGTTTGACCCCCAAAGGGGTCGTGACCCACAGCTTGAGAACTGCTGGTAGAGTGTTCAAATCTGCTATTTCCTTCTTGATTTTCTGTTTTGATGATCTATCTATCCATTGTTGAGTGTGGTATTAAAGCCCCCAACTATTATATTGCTGTTTATTTCTCCTTTCAGCTGTTAGTTTTTGCTATATGTATTTAGGTGCTCTAATTTGGGGTGATAAATCTTTACATTATATCTTCTGAATGTATTGATCCCTTTATCATTATTACCTTTTTTGTCTCTTTTTGATTGTTTTTGTTGTTGTTCAGGTAGAGTGGGAGGGAGAGAGAGGAACAGAGAGAGAGAGAGAGAAACATCGATGTGAAAGGAACACATCGAGTGGCTGCCACCCGCACAACCAACCAGGGCCGGGGACAAACTGCAACCGAGGTACGCGCCCTGAGCGGGAACTGAACCCGGGTCTCTCAGGACCGCAGGCCGACGCTCTAACCGCTGAACCAAACCAGCCAGGGCTCTTTTTGATTGTTTTTAATTTAAAGTTTGTTTTACCTGATACAAGCATAGCTATGCTGTTTGTTTTTGTTACCATTTGCTTGAAATATTTTTTTCCATCCCTTCACTCTCAGTCTCTGTATAGCTTTCAGGCTAATATGAATCTCTTATAGGCAGCATATCGTTGGATCTTGTTTTTTTTTCTCCATTCAGCCAGTCTTTTGATTGGAGATTTTAATCCATTTTCTTTTAAAGTAATATTGGTAAGTAAGAACTTACTATTACCATTTTCTTGTTTTCTGGTTGTTTAGTAGATCCGTTGTTCCTTGTTTCTTATCTTGCTGTCTTTTTTTGTGTTTTTATTATGAGGCTTACATAAACATCTTAAAATTATAACACCCTGTTTTAAACTAATAACTTCAATAGAATTCCTAAGCTTTACACTTTTACTTCTTCCTCTCACATTTTAGATTATGTTACAGTTTACTTTTTTTCTTTTTTTTTTAATCCTTACCCAAGGATATTTTTCTATTTATCTTCAGATAGGGAGGGAGGGAGGGAGAGAGAAACATCGATGTGAGAGGGACACATCGACTGGTTGCCTCCCCCACCATCCCGACCAGGGCCAGGGACCAACCGCAACCGAGGAATATGCTGTTGACTGGAATCAAACCTGTGACTCATTGGTCCTCAGGCCAGTGCACTATCACTGAGCCAAACTGGCCAGGGTGACAGTTTACATATTTTTAACATTGTATAACTAATAACAGATTGTTGTAGTTCTGTTTTTCTTTTTTTTTCTTTTTCTTTTTTACTTTTAAACCACTAATTACACACCATGATTACCACATGACATATCCAACTTTGTCTATATATTTACCATTACCAGTGAGTTTTACACTGCCTTTCTGTGTTTTTATGATGTTAATCGGTATACTTTTATTTCTACTCTGAGAACTTCATTTAGCATTTCTTGTAAGCCCATCTAGTGGTAATAAATTCCTTTAGGTTTTGGTTGTTGAAGTCTATCCCTGCTTCATTTCTGAAGGACAGCTTCACTGGGTAAAGTGATCTCATTTTTTTCTGGCCGGAAAAGTTTCTGTTGAGAAATCTGCCAAAAGTCCATGGGAGTTCAGTAGCTTCAGTCTTTTCTCTTGCTGCTTTTAAAATTTTGTCTTTTGACAGTTTAATTAAAATGTATCTCAGTGTAGCCTTGTTCAGGTTCAGCCTGTTTGGGATATTTTGGGCCTCTTTGATCTGTATGTCTGTTTTCTTTCCCCAGGTTTGGGGAGTTTTCAGCTGTTATTGCTTTAAATATATTTTCTGTCCCTTTCTCTTTCTGAAATTCCCATAACATGGATACAGTGGTTCCCTTTTACCCACTATTTCTGTCTCCATGGTTTCAGTTACCTGCAGTCAACCACATTCCGAAAACATTAAATGGAAAATTGTAGAAGTAAACAATTGCACATTGTCCTGTGTAGGGTAATGAAAGCTCACTCTGTCCTACCTGATACGTGCTGTATGCACTACTCACCTTTTTGTCACCTAGTAGCTATGTCATTTATAAGAGTGACTGTTGATAGCTAGTATCATAGTCCTTATGTTCAAGTAACCCTTATTGTATGTACTGAATGGCCCCAAAGCGCAAGATTAGTGATGATGGCAATTCAGATACGCCAAAGAGAAGCCATAACATGCTTCCTTTAAGTAAAGGGTGAGTAGCCAGGCTGGTGTGGCTCAGTGAATTGAGGCGTCATCCCAATGGACTGAGAAGTCCCGGTTTGATTCCGGTCAGGGCACATACCTAGATTGCAGGCTCGATCCCCAGTAGGGGACATGCAGGAGGCAGCCAATCCATGTTTCTGTCTCTCTCCATTCCTCTCTTTCTAAAAAATCAACAGGTGAGTGTAATGCAATAAGATACTTGGAAAAAGAGACCATATTGCGTAACTTATTACAGTATATTACATCTTATTAGTTATTATTACTCTGTTACTGTGCCTCATTTATAAATTAAACTTTATCATAGGTATGTATGTATAGCGTTCAGTACTACTGTCCACATTTTAGGCATCCACTGGGGTTAGGGGGGGGTCATGGAACATATCCCTTGTGGATGGGGGCTGGGGGCCACTGTATTGTTTTTCTGTTTTTTATCCTCACTGAGGATATTTTTCCATTTATCTTCAGATGGGGGTGGGGGGAGACACACTGACTGGCTGCCTCCCACAGGACCCTGACCAGGGCCGGGGCCAAACCACAACTGAGGTATGTGCCCTTGACCAGAATCAAACCCGCAACTTATTGGTCTGCAGGTCAACGCTCTTAACTGCTGAGCCAAACCGCCCAGGGCTGTGTTGTTGTTTTATGTCTTGTAATTCCTGTAGGCTTTCTGTACTCTTTTTTCTTAATATTGTTCTTCTGACTGGATAACTTCAAATGTCCTGTCTTCCAGATCATAGTTCAGTTATATTGGAATTTTTATTGTTTTGAAAACTTCATTTTTGTTCATGCATTATTTTTTACTAATCTCACTTAGTTGTGTATTCTTGTAGTTCACTAAACTTCAAATGGATTGTTCTGAATTCTTTACTGATAGTTCATAGATCTCCATTTCTTTAGTATCAGGTACTAGAGCTTGACTAGTGTCCTTTGGTGGTATCATATTTACCTAGTGTTTCATGATCCTTGATATCTTATGTTGGTATCTGCACAGTGGAGTGAGTGGTGTCTCCTCTTCCAGACTTTACAGGCTCACTTTGGCAGACATAGTTCTTAACTAGCCAGCTCAGCTTGGGTTTCTATACGTGTCTGCTGGTAGTATCTTTGGGCAAGAGAGCTGTTTGAGCTCAGAGGCAGGGGGGCACAGGGTGTGCCAGAGGCTGAGAATACCTAGATACGACTGCTGCCTCAGTTCCCTGCCCGGGTGAGTCTAGAGAATGAGCTTCATGGTTGCCTGGATTCTCTGGTCAGACTTACCACATGTTCTGGACTAGGGACTCGACTGAGCAATAGGTGGGGCTGTGAATTAGCTTCCCTGCCCTGGTGGGACAATGGGACAGCACCCAGAGCTCATTTGGGGACCCAAATCAGGCAACAGTACTCTGAATATCTTGGTCAAGTGCAGTCACTTGTTTTGCTGTGCAGACAAGAAAAGCCATAGTGTTTGCTTTGTCCCAGTACCTATAAGCAGGGCTCTTGGATGGGACACACAGCTTGGCATGTGCTCCGATCTGAAGGCTGTATTCAGCAATAAGTGGGGCTACGAATTAGTTTTCCTTCCTGGGCTCAGCGGGAAAGCAGCTCTAAGGCCACTGATGATCTTTATTTGTGGTTTTGACTCAAGTTGGTCCATGCCCCAAGTTTCCTGGCCCAAAGGAGCCACTGGCTTTACTTTGGAGGTAATCAACTCAGCCTGCCCACCTTCCTCTCAGCTATGCATTTGGTGGGACACGTGGATTCAGCGTGTTCTTGCAGGGGCCACACTCTGCAGCAGGTAGGACTATAACTCAGCAGAGTGGGCAAAACTTGTTTTGGGGACCCGAGTTAGCAGTCTGCACCCACCAAGTTCCCTGGTCAGACTGTTCCCTTGACTTGGTTCTACTGATGAGCAAAGCCACTGGTTGGGACTACTAGTTGGACTCTGTGGTTAGGAGCTAAGGCTGCCAAGATCTGAGTGCTGGTGGTTGGAAGCCCCTTCTCCGTCACGATCAGGTTCACCTACAATTCTCTTGGGGCACTGGATGTCATCCTTGTGCTCTCTTTTCCCTCTGGGCAAACCACGGTGCTGCACCTGGCTGGGGGAAGAGGGGTGCAGCCGCCTCACTCCTGTGTTCTAGGACCTTATGGTGTCTGTCCACGAATAGTTGTTCTTTTGAGGGAGAGTGAAATCATTTGGAACTACCCGTGTCACCATCTTGATGATGTCACTTTCCTTTATCTGTGTAGAAGCTTAGATGAGAGCAGCTTAGGAGGGGTGCTGATCTGTAATAGGCTGTGTGCTCACTTGCAGGTGACCCTGTGGAAAGAGTCGGTCGATGGGCAGTGGGTGTGCATCAGTGACGTCAACAAGGGCCAGGGTTCCGTGTCTGCTTCAGTCACGGAAGGTCAACAGAACGAGCAGTGACAAGACTGGCGGGGCCCAGCTCCCCACCTGCCAATTCCCGGACTGCCCTTTCCTGGACCAACTGACCAAACAGCCAGGAGGAAGAACTCCAAATTCCAACAAGATTACTTTCCCAGGAATAGTTAAAACTGCAACCAGATTGATCATCTGCCTTAACATGATTTGATATGGTTTGTAATTTACAGTCTGGCTGAAAGCACCCATGCTATGAGGGGAAAACTACAAATGATCTTCAAATCTATTATTTTAAATATTTTTTGGCCATTTTTATGTACCTTTTGGGTTCAGGCATTATTTGGGTGTTGTTGTTTCCAAGTAATTAAACATGTTGTTTATAATTCTCCCTATATTCTCCATAAAAACTTCATTTTGACTCAAGACCAGGTCCCTGTTGGCCTGGCCAAACCCCACCCACAAAGCTGGTCTGTCCCTGTGTAAGCATCCTTGTGATTCAGTGTATACAGAAGGTACCAGACAAGCACTGTAAAAGGAGTGCTAGACTTGGTCTCCAGTTCCAGGGAGTATAACCCTGGCTCTGCTCCTGATCTGAGTACACATCCTCTTCTGTAGAATGAGGTTAATAAAGTCTGCCCTACAGAATGGTTGCAAGACTCAAATGAGCTAATATATGTGGGTGACTCACAAAATGCCATGCAGAATAATACTAACCAAATACCAGTAGGAAAGAGACTGGCCAGAAGAGAGGGCACACTTCATTCAGTTTATCGACCCTGTTAAAGGAGGGGCCTTGGTTCTGGTCCAAACTGACCCTGAACCAACTATCATCTCTCAGCAGAGGCCCTGGGACCCTCACCTGAATCAGCAGTCACAGCAATAGCTACCATTTACTGACACCTGCTGTGAGCTGGCAGTGCATGTAGCTTTCACACATTAAGCAGCACCACAAACCTCTGGGTATATACCCCCAACTTACTGAGGAACTGGCACAGGTTAGAGACTGCCCAGGATTGATCACTGCCAAGTTGCTAAAGCCAGTGCTGATCCCTGTTAACATATTCTTGACCAGCAATTTTACGCAGAAGTTCCCTCATGTCACCGGCTATTTTTTCATAATTGCCTATGAATGTGAAACAATCTAAATAAACTTTCGTATACTTTATTTATACATAATGAATTTAAGTGAAACTTTGTACATACCTGCTACATACTATATATTTTAGTAATTTCTTTGGTGTGGTATACTGTATAATAACCACCTTTTGAAACACACACTTGACACATTCTAGTTGGATTTTTTTTTTTTTATACCAGTGACCATTTTTTCTAAAACGTGGTCTTTTAGTTGCCCTGAAAGCCTAAAAGGTGAATCCATGTGAGGAGCTCTTTTAGAAGTACCAGAAGTGTGAGGTTCTGAGCTGCACTCATTTGAACCAGCAGATATCCATTCCCTAGCTACTTCAATACAGAATGGTGTGCTGTTTTTCTAACTTCGACCCTCAGGGCGAAGAGTCACAAATACAATAATCCTATATTACCCTGAGTTTCAAAAACTGAAATAGCTAATGCAAGTGCAAACAAGTTAACTCGCGAGCGGTCAACAATGTGTTAACTCTGAAGTTAGTACTGTCAGGGTAGACTGGGGGATTCCTCAGCTCTTATCTAAGGGTAGTGATCACACTAGAGTTTGATACATGCTTAGAGGTTAAGCCACTCACCTCCGGAGGCTGTATGCACAGGGAAGTGTGGATCCCTGTTCTTCAGCCTGCTTCTCATCCTTCCTTTGTTCTTCCACAATGAAACCCGTTTTAAAATAAATGTTAGATTGTAATATATAAAATGGGAAATGGTGAAACTGTTTTGGTTGAAGTGAGCATAGAGGCCATGGCACAGCCCACTCGGCCCCCGAGGTCATTCTGTGAAATCCAAGCCTTTGGAGAACCATATGAAAACTGCTGGTGGAGGGGGTTGGGGGGGGGGGTGTGCTCTTATTCACGTGAGAAAAGAAAGGCCCAAGAAGGCACCTTTGCATACATTTCTCAGTAAACACAGAGTACACTGAATTCTGGTTAGCTCTACATACATGTCTACCTTCCCTGACAAACTCTATGCTCCCCAAGGACAGGCCTGGTCTTCCTGATGGTCGGGTACTATCAGCAAATGAATAATGAGAAGGGACTAGTGCCATGTCACACGGGTTGGTGATAGGTCAGTGGGCTCCTGGCCATATGCTCTATGTGCAATTTACATCACCAAGGATCAGTTAAGAAAAGTCCCCCAAATTGGTTACCACAAAATAGGCTGATTAAGTGGAAATACTATATTAATCTTTCAGGGCAGTTGCCACCCCAAGTGAAATGAATGAAAGGGCAATTTAAAAGGTATAGCGAGTGTGCAATAGGGCAAAAAGGCAGTAACAGCCACAAAGTTTTAATCTTTTCACAAAAACAAAGCAACTAGCATAGCAAAAGAAATCTCCAGACAACATTCAAGTAGTCCCTCAAACCACTGAACCCGAAGGAGTAGGGCTGCACCGTTCATGGCCATACCTGTGTGGGATCTACATAGGTTGGAAAAGGGGGGCAGCTCTTAGGATCCTTTGAGCCAGGTAACCCAAGAATTACCATCAAATAATTATCCATTCTGAATAGAAAACTGAACAAGCCAAGATGAGAGAACTGTCAAAACTAGATGTCTCACGGGCTTTCATTTATATGTGAGTTCTACAGAAGAGATTTCCACTTCTGCACATAAAGGATTAACAGCTAGGATTGTCCTCACACTGGAAACAGCTGCTTTCAGAACTATGATGAGAGGCAGTATTTGGGAGGATAAAAAGTGAGGGAAACACAGTTGTCCCAGCTTACAACATAGAGGCAGTTTCCAGGCCAAGGGGCAGGGAAACAGATCCAAGTTCAGGAAAGCTAAGCTACAACTTACAGGCAGAGGACGAGAGAGGGAGCTGCTCCGAAAGAACAAGCTCCTGAGATCTGCAAAAGGGTCTCAGAACCTTGAACCAAGTACTAACCTGCGTATGTATACAAACGGTGCAGCTCTTCATGACCGGAAAGCAATAGAGTAAACAATCTTAGAAACTCACAGAGGGAACAGTTCATTTTCCCAAGAACTGGAGTGCAACAACTTCCTAAACAGGGCTTTGGGCAGAGTCCTAAGAAAGATATGTACCTTAATAGATCTTAAATTAGGTCTAGAGGAATGGCTGTTCTCAAAAGTAAGCCTTTAAAGGATCAAACTGATCCATAGATAACTTCACTTTGTGCCAGATCAAAGCCCAACACTCTCTAAAGGGAAAACAAAATTTATTACGTGATAACAAAATTTACAACGTTCAATGGCCAATCCAAAATTACCAGCGTACAAAGAAGCAGGAAAATATTACCCATAACCAGGAAAGAAAAACATTAATAGACACAAACACAGAAATGAGGCTATGGAATTAGCAGAGTAGAACATCAAAATAACTATTATATGTTCAAGAATGTAAAGGCTTAAAAAGAAACAAGGAAAATGGGAGGTAAAAAATGTTGCAAACAATTTCTAGAAGTGAAAAATTCAGGTCCTGGCGGTTTGGCTCAGCAGTTGGAGCATCGGCCTGCGAACCAGAGTCCCGGGTTCGGTTCACGCTAGGGGCACGTACCAAAACAAAAAACAATATAGCCCTGGCCAGTTTGGCTCAGTGGTTGGAGCCTATGGACCAGAGAGTCCCAGGTTCGGTTTTATTTATTTATAAAAAAAATAATAATATAGATATTGGGGGAGGGAGAAATCAGTGAGGGAAAAAGGAGAAACATCTGTAACAAAAATAAATTATTTAAAAAATAAATTTAAAAAAATTCAGTATCTAAAGTGAGTTGGAGTAAGAACAGATTAGACACTACAGTGGGAAAGATACAATAAGTCTAAAGACAGCAATAGAAACTACAAATGAGCACAGAGAAAAAGGAACTAAAAAGATGAACCGCCCTGGCCAGTTTGGCTCAGCGGTTAGAGCGTCGGCCTGCGGTCCGGAGAGACCCGGGTTTGGTTCCCGCTAAGGGCACGTACTTCGGTTGCAGTTTGTCCCCGGCCCTGGTTGGTCGTGCGGGTGGCAGCCACTCAATATTCACGTCGATGTTTCTCTCTCTCTCTCCCTTCCTCTCTCTCCCTCCCATTCTATCTGTACAAAAAAAAAAAAAAGATGAGCCAAGCAACTGTGGCCTGTGGGACAATATTCAGTAGTCTAAAATGTGTAAATTGGAGTCCCAAGAAAAGAGAAAATTAAGGTGGGTAGGGGAACAAAAAAAATAATTGAAAAGCCCTGGCCAGTTTGGCTCAGCAGTAGAGCACCGGCCCGTGGACCAACGAGTCACAGGTTCGATTCCAGCCAAGGGCATGTACTTCGATTGCAGTTCATCCCGGGCTCTGGTCGGGGTCATGCAGGAAGCAGCCAGTCGATGTGTCCCTCTCAATTCAATATTTCTCTCTCTCCCCCTATCTCTACCTTAAGATAAATAGGAAAAATATCCTTGGGTGAGGAAAAAAAAAAAACAATTGAAGAAACTGAAAGAATTTTTCAAACTGGATTAAAACTATAACCATACAGATCCAAGAAAATTGGAGACACCCCCCCCCGAGTCGAAGAAACACTAAACACACATCCACACCCCATAATAAAATTGCTGAAATTTTAAATTACATAAGCAGCCAAAGAAAAAGACATATTACATACTGAAGAACAAATATAGTCAGCCCTCCATATCCATGGGTTTTGCATCTGGGGATTCAACTGCAGATCAAAAATATTCAAGAAAAAAGTTCCAGAAAGTTCCAAAAAGTAAAACTTATATTTGCCACACACCAAAATTCTGAGTCCATGCAAACGAAATGGTGTGTAGGCATACCCTACTGTAGCCTGTAGGCAAATATAGGTTAAATGTAAGTACTACCATGTTATATAAGGGACTTGAGCATCTGTGGATTTTGGTTATCCATAAGGGTTCCTGGAACCAATCCCCCACAGAGAGAGATCACTATATAAAAATGTCAACTTATCAGAAAGTATGCAAACCATTAGAAAATGAACATCTCTGAAGTGCTGAAAGGAAAAAACCTAGAATTTATACCAAGTGAAAATATATTTTAAAAAATAAAGGTGAGTGACATCAGCATCAAGGCAGAGTAAGACAGCCCCTTTGTATCTCCCTGTAAATTTACAACTAGTCAGACTTCCGTAACCCAACAAAGGTTCCACTGCTCAGCATACTAGGACGCCAAGAGTTCCACACATCAATACATCTAAAGCTGGCATACTGGAACACCTAGGGATTCAGGACAGAGGGAAGAAGAGGAACAGAGCCACAGATACAGTTCCCTGGCCACCACGGCTGAATTCTGGGCCCCAGTGTCTACTGGCAGAGGGTAGAGAGGCAGCAGTAGTGCCAGCACCCCAGAATCTGGCTCCCTCCCCTGATTGCATCCAGAACCTGACAGCAACGGAGATGCATCTACGGCCTTCCATAGCACCAGCACCCATAAGAAACCAGGTAGCAACACAGCCAGCTTGCTAACCCACTTGTCGCAAACCCCAAGACCCAGGCAACCTGGACACAGTGAGGGAACCCACCACTCTGGAAGGTGACTCCCATAACTAGTGACACTGCCCCAATCACAACCCTGGAGGTGCTAGTAGTGCAGGTAAGACGAAATAAAATCTTGCACTATAGCACCATTGACAGAAACAAAACCAAGACCTCTTAATATCACCTTGCTGGATTGTTCAACCAAAATGGCACCTAAAGAAAGTTTTTCATTTCAAATGTGCCAGCAAAGGAATAATCCACTAAACACCATGAACAACCAACGTAATGTGGCAACACGGAAAGAAAACAATTCTCCAGAAATTAAACTCAAAGTCATGCAAGGCTGTGGTCTCGATAAAATAATCAAAATAGTAATAATGAAGAAACTCAAAAAGATACAAGAAGACTCAGAGAAGCAGTTCAAAGAGCTGTAGAGTAAAATTAGTGAACAAAAAGAGTACTAAAGAGATGAAACCGGAAGAATCAAATTCTAGAGCTGAAGAACTCAAATGAGATGAAAAATGCATTAGAGACCAGCACCAGAAATAGAGCACACCAGATGAAAGAATTAGCAAATTCCAAAATAGAAATGTAGAAATGAATCAGGTAGAAGAGATGAGAAAACTAAGATTTTTTTTTTAAATGAAAGACCTCTACAAGAACTATTTCATGCCATTAGAAAAGGCAACATACGGATAATTGGTATCCCAGAAGGAGAAGAGTGGAGGAAGAGGACAGAGAGCCTATTCAAAGAAATAATTGATGAGAACTTCCCAAACACAGGGATGAAACTGGACATTCCAAGTACAAGAAGCTACAGAACAACTAATTATCTCAATGCAAAATGACCTTTTCTAAGACAAATTATATTAAAACTTACCAAAGTTAGTGAGGAAAAAAATACTCTCAAGGAAGCCAGAGGGAAAAGACCGCAACCTACAAAGGAAACCCCCTTCAGGTTATCAGATTTCTCAGCAATAACTTTATAGGCCAGGAGAGAGTGAAATGATATATATTCAAATATGGCAAGATAGAAACCACTAGCCAAGAATAACATATCCCACAAAGTTATCTTTCAGATATGAAGAAGCAATAAAGGCTTTCTCAGACACACAAAAGCTGAGGGAATAGACCACCAAAGACCTGACCTGCATTACAAGATCTGTTGAATGGAACTCTTCAACATGAAACAAAAAATAAAGTCCACCAAATTTTGAGTAAGGTGACAGACAGAAGCAAAAAATTGCAGCACTATTTCAAAATAGGGTGTTAAACACTTAAATAACACAAAAATTAAAGGGAAAAGAGCATTAAAAATAACTATCCCTACTTCAGTTTGGTAATGAATGCATAACAAAAAAAGGGACTATTTTATCTTTGAGACATTTTATACATATTGTGGTAACCACACCAAAAAAAAAAAAAAAAAAAGGCCAGAGATGAAACACAAAAAAAGGAAGAAACAGAGAAAACCATCATAGAAAACTATTGAACTAAAACAATAGACAGAAACAAAAAGGAAAAGAAACAATGGAGATCCAGAGCAATCAGAAAACGAGATAAAATGGCAGATATCAATAATCACCTTAAATATAAAAGTACTGAACTCAGTTATCAAAAGGCACAGAGTAGCGGGATAGATTTAAAAAACAAGACCCAATCAAATACTGCCTTCAGGAGACATCTCTCCGCCAAAGACAAACAGGCTCAAAGTGAAGGGGTGGAAGATGGTATTCCAAGCCAACAATATCAGAAGAAAAGTGTGCAGCCATACTTTATCAAACAAAGGAAATTTCAAGACATAAAAGGTAGCAAGAGACAAAGATGGGTATTTTATAATGATAAAGGGAACAATCCATCAAGAAGACATAACACTTATTAATACATATGCACCCAACTTAAGATCACCAAAATATATAAAGCAATTATTAACAGACCTAAAGGGAAAAATAGATAGGAACACAACAGTGGTAGGAAACTTTAATACCGCACTTACACCAATGAAGAGATCATCCAGACAGAAAGTCAACAATGACACATACACATTCTTCTCAAGTGCCCATAGAACATTCTCAAAGATAGACCATATGCTGGGACACAAAACAAACCTCAATAAATTTTAAAAGATTGAAGTCATATCAAGCATATTCTCTGACCAAACTGTATGAACCTAGGAATGAAGTACAAGAAGACCCCTAGCCAATTTGGCTCAGCAGTTAGAGCGTCGGCCCACAGACCAGAGAAACTTGGGTTTGGTTCCCACTAGGGGCATGTACCTCAGTTGCAGTTTGTCCCAGGTCCCGGTTGGGGTCATGTGGGTGGCAACCACTCAATGTGTCTCTCTCACATCAATGTTTCTCTCTCTCTCTCTCCCTCCCTCCCTCTCTCCCTCCCATTCTATTTGAAGATAAATGCAAAAGTGTCCTCAGGTGAGTACAAGAAGCTGGAAAAGTCACAAAGATGTTGAGATTAAACAACATGCTCCCTTCCACAGAAGGGCTACATACCACTCCTAGGGCCGCCACCATGTCTCTAGTGATCCCTGAGAAGTTCTAGCACATTTTGTGAGTACTCAATACCAGTGTCAATGGGCAGCAGAGAATAGCCTTTGCCATCACTGCAATTAAGGATGTGGGGCAAAGATATGCTCATGCAGTGTTGAGGAAAGCTGATATCAACCTCACCAAGAGGGTAGGAGAGTTCACTGAGGATGAGGTGGAATATGCGATCACCATTATACAGAATCCACGCCAGTACAAGATTCCAGACTGGTTCTTGAACAGACAGAAAGAAGGCTGTGAAGAATGGAAAATATAGCCAATGGTGTGGAGCTCTGTGAAGATCTGGGGTGGCCCACAGAGGGCTGTGCTACTTCTGGGGTCTTCATGTTCAAGGCCAGCACACCAGGACCACAGGCCACCAGGGTCTCACTGTGAGTGTATTCAGGAAGAATAAATCTGCAGGCCTTGTCTGTTAATAAATAGTCTATACACCAACAAATAAAGTAAAATAAGCAAACAACATGTTAATAAATGAACTACTGGATCAATGACGAAATAAAAGAAATAAAAAAATACAGAGACCAATGAAAATGATAAAATGGCATACCAAAATCTCTGGGATGCAGCAAATGCAGTACTAAGAGGAAACATTATAGCAATACAGACCTACCTCAAGAAACAAAAATGTCAAAAAGTCTAACATTATACCTTAAGGAACTAGGAAATGAAGAACAAATGAAACCCAAAGTTGGTAGAAAAAGGAAATTATAAAAAGCAGAGCAAAAATAGACTAGAGAATTTTAAAACATTAGAAAAGATTAATGAAATGAATAGCTTGGTTCTTTGGGATGAAAGGGGGCACTAAGGTTATGGAAGTTTTAAGAGGAGCACCCATGATTATCTAGAACTGCTGTCCAGTGCAGTAGCCATAAGCCAGATGCAGTTTCTAAGCACCTGAAGTGTGGCGAGTCTGAACTGTGTGCTGTACAAATATGACGCACTGGACTTCGAAGATTTGGTAAAAAGAAAGCCAGTGTCAAGCCTGGCTGCTGTGGCTCAGTTAGTTGAGCATCATCCCATGCACCAAGAGGTCAGGGCACATGCCCAGATTGTGGGCTCGATCCCCAGTAGGGGGTGTGCAGGAGTCAGTCAATTGATGTTTCTATCTCTCTCTGCCTCTTTCTTCTCTTAAAAAAAATAAAATAAATAAAAACTAATAAAAACATATTTTAAATCAATTAAAAAATTAAAAAGAAAGCCAGTGTCACATATCTCATTGATTATTTTTATATTTATTACATGTTGAACCAATATTTTGGATATTTAGATTAAATATATTATTAAAATTTATTTTACCTGTTTCTTTTTGTGTTTTTTAATATGACTCCTAGGAAACTTAAAATTACCTATGAGGCTCTTATTGGAAGCTGACGTGATATTTCTATCAAACAGTGCTGATCTAAAAGTTATGGAAGCCAGAACTAGGAGAAAAAAGAAATCCCACCAAAAAGACCTGTCTCAAAAATCAGCACCTCTTCCGCCCTGGCCAGTTTGGCTCAGCAGTTAGAGCATCAGCCTGCGGTCCAGAGAGACCCGGGTTCGGTTCCCGCTAAGGACACGTATCTCAGTTGCAGTTTGTACCTGGCCCTCGTTGGGTCATGCGGGTAGCAACCACTTGATGTGTCCCTTTCATGTCGATGTGTCTCCCCGCCGCCCCCAATCTATCCGAACAAAAATGGAAAAAAAAAAAATCAACACCTCTTCCTACAACCCCAGAATCTGCCTCATTCAAACCAAGGTTTCACCTAATTGATGAAAAAAGTACTTGCTAAGCCAACTAATTATCAGTACAAATGAAATTATAATGGAAAGTGTATAACGATAATTTGTTCTCAGACAACATTTACATATAGCAATTAAGTGGTGACGTTGAGAGCTTCCCATCCATTCATTAAGGCAGGCCCTCGAGGCCAGGCAGTGGGAAGAAAATCACCAGCCAGCAAGCAATCCAGCACAAGCACCTACTAGATTCTGAGGAGGGTACGGGTACAGGGAGGGGCCAAACTGGCCTCGGTATTACCCACAGTTGAAAGGAATGAGAAGGAAAGTGAGCCGGGGAAAGTTGGCTCTTTCCCCAACTCTACGGTCTTCCTCCTGGTCCAGATGTTCGTGCATTTCCCACCCTGATCTGTGAGTGGGCAGTGAGGTATTTTTGGGGTGCTGCCTCCCTCCTTTCTTAGTGGTTCTGCCATCTATCAGATCTTTCTTCCTCCCCCTCCAGCCTCCACTGTGGTATGTGGTCAGGAAGGTTTCCATCACACAGATCACCTCTGTTTCCCAGAGATAACAGTGAGTGTGGGTGTTTGCTTGCTGGTGCTGTTATCTAAGATCAATACTGCAACTCCTGCCTAGAGGCCTCCAGGGTCAGGAAAAAGCAGAGGCTTCATGTCTCAGTAGGTGCCTGGTCACCATAGTTGGGGTTTGCGGAGGGTGTTTCCTTTTGGTGGGGGTAGGGGGTGGCTGTGAACAAGCTACAGCTCTTCTCTAAGGGCTCAGATTTCTCCCCACCACTCTCCACCTTCAGCCTTCAGACCCTGCAGCCAAGAGATCTAAGTTCAGGAGGCTGATAGGATGAAGGGCTCCTGGTGACATGCTCACTCCGGCCCCCACAGCTGGTGAGCTGTTTGTTCTTCAGCAGGAGGTACTTAGTCCCCCATATTCTACTGAGTGGTTGTCCAGCCCCCTCCTGTGCCTCTACTGCCCCTAGAGTCTCTACACCGGTTCAGTGCCCCGAGGTGATCTTTAAGTCAGGTGGCATTTGATGATAAGCTGTTGTACTGCCTCAGGGTGCTCCTAACTTGTTCCCTGCCTTAGTCCTATCCTGCTTGGCGCACACTGACTTTCCTGGGTACCACGTTCACTGTGGAAGCAGGAAGCAGACGAGCACTGGATCAAGTCAGGAACCCAGGTGGGAGTCCCAGCACTGCCACTGATGGCTGTGGCTCTGGGGAAAGTGTGACCCATTTGGCACTCGGTTTTTCTTCCAGTGAAATAAAAGGTTCAGCATCCTGAGTCTTTAAGGTCTTTCCAACTCCCCACTGTCCTATGTTCTGTCACTCTTCTGTTCAAGAACCTCCAGTGGCCTCCCTCCTACACATAAAGCCCAAACTCCTTGTGCCAGCAACTTGCAAAGCAGTGCATACCTGCCCCTCCGAAATGCTGGAACTTCTGCAGAGACAACTCGTTTAGCCCTTAGGAGTCAGTGCTTAGGCTTCCAATTAGATGAAGCACTCAGGTAAGGAATCCCCCACAATGTTAATTAACACTTCATCCAAGAACGTGTGACCATGGCACATGCTTGCAAGGTCTATGGGCCAGATACAAAAATACTTGTCATCTGCATGACACCTTCCAAGTTATGAAGTACTTTCACAGCACCTTGTCATCCAATCCTCAAAGCCACTCTGAGGAGCTGCCCTGCCGCATGGGGGATTGCATGAGTAGTACCTGTGCCGATAGCAGGCCACAGCTCTTCCACCTCCAGGTCCAATCTGTTCCCTCTCAGAACCTGGCTGGGGGGAGGGGAGGCAAGTCCACATGTTAAGAAACACCAAGCCAAGCAGAGTCATCATGTATCACCCAGCAAGAATGACTGAAATTTAGCCACTGATTAAAACGATCCCTGCACCTGCTCCCTGGAGGAGTTAGGAGCTCATGCTGCCGCCCCTCCCATCAGTTTCCAACTGTAAAATGGGACATCCTTCACTGGGGAGGCAGGAGAATCATATGAGCCAGGCCCCCTCTTGTGCTCCAGAGGTTTGTGGGAGCCAGAGCAGCATTGGTCACAGGACTACAGGCATCAGGACTAGAAAGCTCTTAGAAATCTAGTGACAGTAAACTTGTTATATCCAGGAAGGGGGTTTCAGAATGGAGAGTAAACCAAGCTCACAGAGCAGCAAAGCCAGCCTGGATTCCACCCCCGCCCCCCAACCACTCCTCTCCCTCTCACCTAAACCAGGGCCAGGCCCCTTTGGGGACAGCTGGAGCAGATGGCCACCCCACGTCAACCCAACAATCTCTCAGGGCATTTGACGTCCACAGTTGATTTCCACCCCAAGGACCAAGGAATGTAAATCAGCCCCTGGAAACTAGGCTGCCCCGAGATGAGGCAGCCAGTTTAAAACAAACACAGGACTTCCTATATAAGGACCAGACAGCCGCCAGGTATCACCTCCACCCGGAATCCCAGGTAGGCACCCTTTGTCTGTGGGTTTACTTATGGATTTAATTACTGGCCATTCACAGGCCAAAGGGGAGGCTGCACATCGAGGGGCAGCCTTGCTGCTTGAACATAACTGGGCGAGGAGCCGCCCCAGTCCCCCCACGTCTCCTGAGGACCTTGCTGCCAAGGGCTCTGCCCTGAACAGTCTTGGAAAAGAGCTCATATCCTTCAATCCGCTCCTACCTTGGGGAGGTGGGAGGAGCTGCCAGCCCAGGTCTAAGTCCCTCACCCTGTCTGCTAGGCTCCTACCAGAGTTCTGAGGCAGGGGAAGAGCAGGGGAGGGGAGGGGACAGGAGAGCAGGGCATGCTAACTGGAGACCCTCTCTCCTCTAGGCCCTTCTGTCCCAATCCAGCCGAGGCCATGCCCTCCCCAGGGACCGTCTGCAGCCTGCTGCTCCTCAGTGTGCTCTGGGTAGACTTGGCCATGGCAGGCTCCAGCTTCCTGAGCCCTGAACACCAGAAAGTGCAGGTGAGATGTCTCCCCACAAAGCTCCACATTCTGACTGGGGTATTTCACTCCAGCCCTGCCACAGAGCAACCAGCTATGTGACCTGGGCAGTGGCTTAACCTCTCTGAATTTCAGCCTTCAGATAGAGCACAGGGGAGGACCCGGGTCTGACTATAGGCTCTTGCCTTTTTCTGCTTCTGGAAGAATATGGGAGGCTTAGGGCCATAAAGGAAACACTTCCTCTTCAGCAGAGAAAGGAGTCCAAGAAACCACCAGCCAAACTGCAGCCCCGAGAGCTTGAAGGCTGGCTCCGCCCAGAAGATGGAAATCAGGCAGAAGAGACAGAGGATGAGCTGGAAATTCGGGTTGGTTTCCTCGTAGTTTTATGCTTTTGTGGCAGGGGAGGGGACAAGGGGAGGGCAGAGGGAGATGGCATGAACAGGGGCCCACTTACTAGCTACTCAAGAAATGTAAAATAGCATGAAAATAGCTGACTCTGCACTGGGCTCTATGAGGTCTTAGCCCATGAACAGGCAACCATCTAAGAGAAGTCACCTTGCTGCAACAGAATGGGAATGTACAAGGAGCCATGAGCAGAGAAGGGGGTGCTGCAGCCACCAGATGATTTCAAAGGGTGCAGCAAATAGGGTGCCCTGAGAGACACCCAGGTAGATACAGCTGGTCATAGAGTAAAGGTGTTTCCCCACAGAAAACATTCTGGTTGGCTCAGGGGCCTCCCAGACCTTACCTGGGGCTGGAGTGCATCCTGGATGGCAAACTACTGCTAGCAGGGATCTCAAGTCCATTTATAGATGAGGACAGGTCAGCCAGGCTATTCTGGCTGACAAATTTCACATGGGACAAGGAAACAGTTTAGAGATAAATGAAGGAGAAAGTAAAGGGGTTTTATAGGGTTATCTAGGTAACCTTCCTGAAAGGCTGGCTGTGTGTGGTTCTGGTTCTGACAATTTAGGTGGCAACAGACACCTCCATTCAGAGAAACCAGAATTCCCCTGGGGTGATACTTATTAATAGCAGTTACTGAATTGCTGAGAGCTGATATCATTGCTCTTACTGTAAAGATGAGAAGTTCAGACAGTGAACTCACTTGCCTGAGGGGACACAGCCAGAGTGGGGCAGAGGTTGAAGGTCAGGGCTGACAGCAATCCCCAAGCCCTCTTGTCCTCCTTACTGGTCTGGCAGAGTGGACAGTGCCTCTCACTCATCTCTTCTGGCCTGAGAGAAGCTGGTGTGTCTTGCCTTCCCCTCTCTAACTACCCACCAGCCTCTTCTCCCCTCAGGGACGAACTCCCCACCCGGTGCTCTCTCTGACCCTCACCAAAGCCTAGATGTCCTCGGGCACTTCCTCCACACCACTTGAGAGATCCTCAACCTACCACATTCCCACTCAGTGGCCTGCAAATCCTTAAACTAAAACCAGAGCACTTTCCTAGTGAGACTGTAGCTCCTGCTGGCTGGTACTCACCCCAGCCAGAGTAGCTCTAAATTAGCCCCGATGAGAAAGAATTTTCAGTGGCTAGTGACTCAAGGCAGGGCTGGGACCACTGGAAGTTTGCAGTTTCCATGAGGGCTGGCCTCAGAAGAACTGGCGCTGCCTCAACTAAAATCAAAAGTTTGAAATGTCTGGGAGGTGGTGTGGCTGCCGGAGCAGGAGGCTGGCCACATCTGGATCTGCTCCTCACATCTCCCCCTCCCATCTAGGGCTCCACCTCTCTCAGCAAAGCCCCACCCCTAACTTCCCCCAAATATTTTCCTCCTAAAATCAAATTTCAGAGCTGGAAGATGTTTCAAACCGAGTCCTCCCCACTCCCCCATCCCACTCATCTCCCACTGAACAGATGAGACACCAAGACACAAGGAGCCTTGTCAGGTCACCTGAAGCTGATCTCTAACCAACAGTTGCTACACTACCTCATTTGCCTCTGCAGCCAGTTCCAGCCAGCAGGTCCCTGGATTGGTGCTCAGTGGTCCCTAAGTCTGTTCAGGGGATCTGACCACCCCCACATCCACAGGGTGGAAGAAAAGCAAATCTTTACTGAAGGGAGGTAACGGGAGGGTCTACGTTCCCTAAGGAATCATCATGCCATTATTCCCCACTCACTCACTTTCACAGTGGGGACTGTAAATTTTTTAAAGGAACAAATAGCTATTTGTTGATTTAATAACTTCTCTGAGCATACTTGCTCATCTGTAAAAGTGGCACCTTCCTAATGGGGTGGCGCCAAGGACTCGATACAAGGTAGAAGGCACTCAGCCCGGGCCTCTCACTAGGTACTGTCGCTCCCCTGGGACTAGAAGAGGCTCTGAGGCTGATGGACTTAAGAACCCTGCAGCCTAGTCCTTGGCCAACACCCCTCTGAGGCCTCAGACAAGTCATCTAACCTCTTTGGGCCTCAGCTGCTTTACCTGAAAATGGGATAACACCCCGTTAGGAGTGGAGTTGGCAGAAGGACCAATGACCGAGGGTCCGTTCCAGCACCAAGATTTCTCCACTGACTCATGGAGATGTTCAGACACCACAGTGACCAACACGGCCAGGTACTGAGTAGCTACTGGATGAACAGAGATAGAGACAATCTGCTCTTGCCCTGGCCAGTTTGGCTCAGCAGTTGGAGTGTCAGCCTGTGGACCTGAGAGTCCTGGGTTCGGTTCCCCCTAGGGGCACGTACCAAAAAAAAAAGAGACAGTCTGTTCTTAAGGGAGAAAACAATGATGTGGCTGCTCTTTGCTATTTCCCCAAAGTTTTTAGTGCCAACAAACCATCTCATAGAATGCTGGAAAAGTAGGGAAAACAGGACACTCTCCCTGTGTAAGGAAGAAATGGAACAGAGAAGAAAGGACTTAGAGCATCTTTCTAGGAAAAGGTCAGCTTTCTGTCTGACTGCACAGAACAGAAGCCTGTGCACATGAGGAAGAACACCTGGGAAGAGAGAAAGAGGTGAGGGCAGCAAAGCAGGCAGAGACCATCTCCTAGGCTAGTGCTACGTACACCAGGTAAGCCCACTTCCCTCCAAATCTCCCTGCCAGGGCTTGAAATCCCATCACTGGCGATTCAGCCTTCTCTTCCAAAACTGCAAGGCAGCGGGGAGGGGGGCTTGATACAGGGGATGTGATGGCTTTTATCAGCAACCTCCTTAGAGGTAAAGGAAGAGAATGCAAGGTAAGTCTCCTGAAGATGGAGGGGGACAATAAGAATGGCCTACAAAGGCAGAATAACAGCTGTCCCTCAGTGGGACCTGCTGGGCCCACAAGCCCTTTTCCCTCCCTGGCCCTATGATGAGATCCTGAGCCCAGGGCCTCCTTTGGGATGGAAGTGTTTGGGGCAGGGTGGGCGGTATAACTCTGATACTTCCTGGGTCCTCCCTGCTCTCCTAGTTCAACGCCCCCTTTGATGTTGGAATCAAGCTGTCAGGGGCTCAGTCCCATCAGCATGGCCAGGTCCTGGGGAAGTTTCTTCAGGACATGTTTTGGGAAGAGGCCAATGGTAAGTCCCTGCCTGGGTCAAGTCAATTCAGTTTCCTTGAAATCCCCAATGTGAGCCTGCATTATAGGTGACACAAGAAAAGTTTTCTTGCCCTGGCCGGTTTGGCTCAGCGGTTAGAGCGTCGGCCTGCGGTCCTGAGAGACCCGGGTTCGGTTCCCGCTAAGGGCATGTACCTCGGTTGCAGTTTGTCCCCGGCCCTGGTCGGTTGTGCGGGTGGCAGCCACTCGATGTGTTCCTTTCACATCGATGTCTCTCTCTCTCTCTGTTCCTCTATCTCCCTCCCACTCTACCTGAACAAAAAATGGAAAAATGTCCTCTGGTGAGGATAAAAAAAAAAAAAAAAAAAAAAAAAAAGAAAAGTTTTCTTCCCTGACCCATCTCTCACAAGGAGCTTCTAATGCCTCATTCCCAAGTATTGGCAGGAGAGTAGGCTGGGCTGGTATTTGTGAGTGGCTCAGAGGGGGTTGAGCAGTTTTTGTATTTAAAGATGGTATTAAATTCTGAGAACTAGCTTCGGTGCCCCAGTGAACCTCAATTTTCTTAACCATAAAAAGGAAATAACATCCACTATGAGAGGATAAAATTATTTGGTGTTATAGCACCCTTTACTGTATAATTAACTTCACAAACAAAAGGAATTAATGCTACAATTACACTTAGAGTGGGCTCTGCAGCCAGTTAAGCAGTCTTTTTGGTTTTGATTTGAATCCTATTTTGCCGGTAAAAAGATACCACCCAACTTTTTCCTGATCAAGGAGGCAACACCTTGCCTTTGGAAGCACCCTACAAGCTGCAAAGCACTTCCCTCACCAACATGGCATCACCCCACCACCCACCACGTGAGTTAGAAGGAAAATGGAACTCAATCTTCAGTGCAGATAAGGAGACCAAGACTCAGAGTTTTAGATGACTTGCCCAAGTCACAGTCCAATGCTCACCCCATTACAAGACACCACCTCAGCAATCACCATTGTGGACTGTCATCATTTTTGATGGCACTGGCCAGACAGCAGGCTCAGAATTGTGACTTGGCTTCTTGCTTTTCAGAGGCCCCAGTGGACAAGTGACCATCCACAAGACCGGCCCACCTCTTTGTTTTCCTACTACCCTTAGTTGTGCTCACCTTGGTTTCAGATTGCTTCTACAACTCCCAGCTCTGAGTGGTACTAGCTTAGGACCTGAATAAATATTCAAACTGTGTGCTAAATGTTCAAAATGAGAATTATTTTGCCAAGAAGGAAAATTTCACATTTTGTGGGGGGAAAAAAAATCTTAGTCTATGTTCAATGGAAAGAGAAAAGATGTTGCAAGGCAGGTGTGCATGCTTAGAAAACCAAACTAGCCCGGCTGGTGTGGCTCAGTGGATGAGCAGTGATGTATGTATGGCATGCTCCAAGAGGTCGCCATTTAAATTCCTGATGGGGGCACATACCCAGGTTGTGGGCCTGATCCCTAGTGGGGGGGCATGCAGGAGGCGGCCAATTGATGTTCTCTCTCATCGATGTCTCTAGCTCTCTCTCTCCCTTTCTCTCTTAAAATCAATAAAGATTATTTTTAAAATTAATTTAAAAAAAAAGAAAACCAAACTAGACCAATTCACACAAGCAGAATATTGGGGGATAAATGGCAGAAGTGGGGGAGAGGAGAGAAAGACAGAAAGAGAAAGGGGGGGGGAGAAAAGGAAGGGAGAAGATGAGAAGAGGATGAGGAATGGAGAAAGGAAAGACAGTTCTTTTAAATAGCAGAGTGCAGAGTTGCAGCAGAGCTTATCATCATCAAGGACTGTGTGGACAAAGAAACTGCAGTGACATTATCAGAGCTAACACCCACTAAACTAACATTTAAGATCAGAACAGGATTCTGGGAATGCCAAAGCACAAGTCTAAAGTTGTATTTAAGTGGCTGCTAATAATGGCTGAGCCACTGTTGGGAAGGGCTTCTTCCTTGTCCACTATTGAGAGGCCGGCAAAGTAGATACTACCTCATATGGGCAAGGTGGGCCATTACCTTGACTACTTCACTGATACTAGGTTGTTGCCCCAAAACATTTCCAACTCCAGCTCACAGCTGAATTTAACCTTGTTCCACAATTTAATTCCGGGTACACAATTTAATTCCAGTGAAGACACAGCTTCCTAGGAGGAAATGTCACTTATCATTTACACTTTAGCATAAACATGTAAATTGATTTCTGAGAGTCAGTGATGATAGATGAGTGAATCATTAAGAGGAAAGAGCAAACAAGGACAGAGGCTCCAAAGAAAAGCACTGCCAACCTGCCCAGTCAGACATATGAACCCATACTAGAAATATGTAGGACACCCCTCTGCAGAGTTGAGGTAACATCCACACTCTGGAAAAACCTCTATTACAGAGGACTCTAGGAGCCAAGTATCTTCTCAAGTAAAATTCTGGCCACCTGGCACTCAAGACATTGCCCTATTGGCACTAACCACTGGTAGACCTGGCAGGCACACTGAAACACAAATGCCACCCCTCACTGAGGAACTGCATGTGGTCTGTGAAATGTCACCATCATCTGGGAATATCTTAGAAATGCAGAATCTTGGACCCCACCCTTTGCCCTACTATGAGGATCTGCACTTGAACAAAATCCCCAGGCTATTAAATGGCTTATATAAAGTGGCTTAGAGCCCTGGCCGGTTTGGCTCAGCGGTTAGAGCATCAGCCCACGGACCAGAGAGACCCGAGTTCGGTTCCCGCTAAGGGCATGTACCTCGGTTGCAGTTTGTCCCCGGCCCCAGATGGGGTCGTGTGGGTGGCAACCACTCGGTGTCTCTCTCACATCGGTGTTTCTCTCTCTCTCTTTCTCCCTCCCACTCTATCTGAAGATAAATGCAAAAATGACCTAGGGCGAGGATAAAAAAAATAAAATGGCTTAGAGGCAACTGGATCCACTGCACAGCCAGATCACCCACATGGCACAGATAGGTGGATCGTAATAAAATTTACAAAAGTTCAGACCTCATTAGGTGAGACCCTCAACAGAACGGTGAACACATGAAAAAGGTGTCCTGTTTCTTCTCTTACTCACCTTCTTCCCATCACTTTAGTCCCAGCTCTGTTGTCGACTCCATGTCCATCTGTTGGGCAGACAGCCAACCAAACACACACACACACACACACACACTTCCATGTCTCAGATGTTAGACACCTGATTACATGTCTACACAGTGACTTCATTCAAAGTCCTTGCTTCCAAAGACATCTTCATCTAAGCCTCAGTAACGATTACAGATTGAAACATGTTACCACTATTAAAAGAATTTAAGGTATTGGTGAACTAAGTGGGGGAAGTAGAAGTAACAGAAGTGGAGAGAAATGATCTTCCACAGCCCCCAGAGAGCCAGCCCCTGTGACCCAGCCCCGTAGCACTGAGGCCTAGGCTGACAGGCTGTTCCGTAGCTTAGCCACATTAACCATAGGGTACAACCCTGATCACCACTAGCCACGCCCACAGCCTTTAACAGCTAAAGAAGAGGATTGAAAGCTCAGGCGTGATCAAATTGGCCCAGGAAACCAGCTGCTGACCTGGTGAGGCAGCAGCCATGGATTGGGTTGGGGTCAGGTGCTCAGGGGGAGGATAGGTGCCAGGCCCTGGCAGGAATGATGGGTCACCTAAAGCTCCACCCACTAAAAAAAGAACAAAGGCTTACTTTTCTCTCAAAGGATTCACAAGCATTCCCTGCCACTTGCCTGTGTCATTCATTAAAACAAAACAAAAAAAAACCAACCACACACATGTTAAGCACCCACTCTGGACTGGGCGATCTCACCTGGGTCAGGCAACATGATGTGGTAGAGAGCTATGGGCTACGGACTCAGACCTGAATTTGAATACTAGGTTTATGTTCCAGACCAAAACACTTAATTTCTCATTCTCAGCCTCCTCAAATCAAAATACCCACCTCCCTGGGTTACTATGGACACGAAACACAGTATCTCCTTCAAGGACACCTGGCACATAGTAGGCATTCAACTATTCTAACAGCCATCACTTACTGCACTCCTGCTGTGCACCAGGCATTGTTCTAAACACTTATACGTAATTAAGTAATTTCAGTTAATTTTTACAAGTCACTTGGGAGGGAGGAAACTGAAATTCAGAGAAATTAACTTTCCAAGGTCACACAGCAAACACACTACCCACTAATACCAGAGCTGTAGTGCTCTAGTCCATGCTTTTCATACTTTACTGCCTCTCAATGTTACTTTCTTAAGGTCCAAGGGATTTCTTTTGTTTGTGATTTTTATTTTCCTTCATAATACACTGGGTCAACTTCAAGTCAACAACTGGCAAAAATAAAACATCAAAGGAAAGAAGGGACACACTTGAAAAAATGTAGCATTTCTAACACTGTCCCACATCAGCCTCCTTAAACCTATTCCTCCAGTATTTAATAGCACCACTGACCTAAGGTACCCCTGGGGTAAGCAAGAAATTTACTGTAGAAAACATTCTCCTTATAAGCTTATTTTGTTTCAGGATATACCTAGTATATCAGTATACTAACACATGTAGTATTTAACTCATACACTTACAGGTATGTGGCTCAGAAATTCCCTTGTGACAACAAGCAAACAGAAGAATGGGGACCCATGCTCAGCTTCCTTAATCTGAATCCACTTCCAAACATCAATGACAAATGAGCGTTGACAGGGATTACAGGGACTGGCTGGCCACTGATCGGCAGTTCTGCTGCCATCTTTGTTTGACCAAGTTTGTTCAATCACTGAATATTTCAGTGGCCACTTGCCCTTATTTTATAAAAATGAGTGTCGCAAAAATGAAGGTCCCAAACTTAATACAGAGAGAAAGATATAAACACCAGAAGAGCCAAGAGCAGATTTTGAGCCACAAACATTGAGTGGACACTCAACTGTGTGTTCAACTGGAAAGAAACTGAGCCAAAGTGAAGGAATATGCTGAAAATGCAGTCAGTGACCATGTCTCAAAAATGAGGCATTAGCAGAGCTTTTGAATTTGTTTTGCATTCTCAGAGCACAGCCTTTCTTTTTATAGGTTGACTTTGGCTTATGCATTTGTGTTCAATACCATAGTACAAAATTAGAGGGCTGACTGTTAAGTAATGAAACAAGATTTCCTCCAAAATTCACCTAGAGGCACCAGCAGAGTTCCCAGTCCCAAGCCCACAGTACAAATGACTCATCACCACACCTGTGTACTTGATATTTCTCCTCCTACTGCACTGCTCTGGAGAAAAAGAAGGTATCTGTGTAGTTTCCAAAGGCTAAGAAGCAGCAGTACATCTGAACTCCCAAAGTGTAAAATGAAAATCAATGCTCAGAGACAGAACTTTTAAGAAGGTACCATACCATGTCTTATCTCCAGTGTAATCTTGCAGAGAGGCACATGTATACTTGAGAATGTCTGCAGACCTCTGGGTTCCCAGGTTACGAAGTCGGCCAACAACTTAACTACTGTTACTCATTCTGAGAACTCTAAACAAACGTGGAGAGCATGGGAGTTGGCTGAAAATCCATCCCTTTATTTTCAGAAATTGATGGCCAGGAGTAAGGGTAATACAGAGGCATTCCAGCAATACAGCAAGAACAATCAAGTCAGCCATTCAAAATCAGAAACACTGCCAACCAGTTTTCACGCCCACAACACAGAAATGATCATCCTAAATCCTAGAGATAAAAGTATAAAGCACCTTGTGCTTTACCTTGGCAGGAAGACTCATCATACACTCTGAAATATTTAGCAGTTCCCCAAATCTTCCAAATAGGAGAATGCGCCCCCAATTCCCCCCCATTGGCAAACATGAGGCACAGACTACAACACAAAGCTAAATCCATGGGCGGTTGACAGGGAATTAAGGCCCACTTTGCAGGCCAGCAACTTGTGTACAGGGGCAAAACAAAAATACCATATAGAAAAAATGTTAAGTTCATTTCCTTTGAACTTACAAGGCTCAAATGATCTTCCAAAAACACCTACAGAAATCCAGCACTAAGAGATGGGTTTTACTATTTAAGATATAGGCTTCCAAGAAACACACAAAGAATCAGTGGCCTGTCTCACTGCAGACTAGGGTAAAGGATCTCTTCTGACAAAGTGCAGAATGCCCTCACACTTAACCCTTGACCATTATAACCTTCCAGGGCCTTTAATGAATATACCTTTACAAGGCACCATCAGGGAGCAGAGCACAGCTCAAAACTTGAGATGACCTAGATGCTCCAAAGTCAGAGAGGATCTCACTTCCAACAGAGAAAGGACATAGAGGAGGCAAAGGCAAGGAAGATTGCCAGAAGGGGGACTGTTACAGACACCAGGCCTCCTTGTCCTGCAAAGGCAATAGAACATGGCTGAGTGACCCCAGCAGAGCTTTGGAAAATTAAACTGATTTACCTCTCAACCTGGGAGAGGCACACAAAAGGCTGTCATATGCAATGAAACAGAATGACTCTTTCTGGTCCAGTGCTCCAGAGAAAGAGGGCAAAAATTGAATAAAGGGCACTTGGACCTCAACAGCAGGGCAGCAGGAAGTAAAAACACCTTCTTTGGGAGTCCTTATCCTCAAGAAGGCCTCTTCCCTGAGTCCCCAATCTGTCCAGATCTCCATCAACAAGGACTTCCCCTGGACAATGAGTGCCCTTCTGCCCTCTGTTTTGATGGCAATGGAACCAGGGAAACCAGCAGCCGAGGTCCTTCCACCAGTGCCAATGCAGAGTTGACAAAGCAACAGCAACGGCCATTCTGAAGAGTTATCCAGGGAAGAAAGGGGGATGATTCCACTGCTCGCAGGGGTTGACTTCATAGATCTCCGTCGAAGATCCCCCACAGGAGATTTCCCACGGAATTCATTCTTAGAACTGAGGACCAGGAACCAAGTTATACACTGACATGGGCTTAGACAAGAAGGAGGGTGACTTTATTCACACACTGCTCAAAAACACAGGCTGTAGAGAACAGGAATTTGGATTGGCAAACTCGTCACACCCTTCACCAGCCTTTCTTCTTCCCTGACTGCCCTGGAGCATGTGGCTAGGAAGCAAAATCCCCACCCCTCACCCTGCTCCACTGCACCCCACCACCCACCCACCCACCCACCCACCCACCCACCAACCAGCTAGGAGCAAAAGCCATATGACGAGGTTTCAAGGAAAACATCCCGTTTCCTGTCCTGGTTTTCTCCACTCTGGTGTCATTCCAAACACACACTTGTCCTGGGACCCAGGCAGAGATAAAACCCAGCCTGTGTCCTGTCAGGTCACTGGTCATCCTGGAGGGCAGGAAAGAGAAAAGGAAGAAGGTTTCAAACCAAGTTCACTCAACACAAATCAGGCTTAATGCTCACCCTGTTTATACTCTGTTAATAAAATGCAGCAAAAGCAGTTTTCGGATTTTTAAAAAACAAAAATGCAAATTTTATGACCTTTTATAAGAGACTCCTGCACCATCTTCTGCTTAAAGACTGTAGAGGCGTCTGGTGTTCTCACGCAAGGTAGCCAAGGTGCGGGAGAGCGGCTGATCTTTGACCCTGGCAATCTCTCGAACTGTATGCAAGGCAAGGCCCGGGTGAGCATACTGGCAAAGGCTTCTGGGGACCTGGAAGATATCAAGCATTCAGAACATCGTTGTGCCTTCTGTGCACAGTCATTACACAGAACGCCCTCCCCGGCCCTTCCCCAGTAAGGACCTCTTTGGGGCTACCCTGTAGAGACCCCTTTACCTGCAGGTGCAGGGAGAGTCCTAGTCATGGGGGGCTCTGGGTGAGCAGGGTCCCACGCTTCCTTGGACTACCCTCTACAGGGTAGGGCTTTGCACTGCCTGGAAGAGAGTGGTTACCCTTCAGCTTCTCAACCCCCTAGACTTTTGGTTCTGTAGAGCAATACAAGGAGGTATCTGTACAGCCAAGGGTGGGACCTGAAGTCTCTGGGGCTCTGGCCTTGCCAACCTTGTAAGGGTGACCACCCACCTCCCCACCCTCTCCTCAGTGCAACTCAGCCTGAAGACACTCCTACCTGTCGAGGCAGGAAGTAGGGAGCATCAGTTTCCACGATGATTCTCTCCAGCGGGATCTGTCTCAGAGCATCCCGGGCCTCCCAGGCAGAGGAGTACGTCAGGACTGCCGTGAAGCCCACAGACATGTTGGGAAAGTACTTCAGCAAGGGCTCGATGACCGGGTAGCTGCCAGTGAAGCAATGCCTGAGAGAAGAAGTTCAGGTCAGCACTCTCTCGCAATCCCCTCTGCAGCAGCCCGACTCCCTCTAGACACATAACCCTTTTAAATTATTTTCTGTGGATAAATTTCCAGAAATGGAAAGAAGCCATCCAAAGGATGGACTCCACAGTAAACATAGACAAGAGCTGACTCCAACACCGTAAAACCCAAGATGACTCCTGGTGGGCAACGCTCACCCATCAACCCATTACACCACAGAATACTACCCAGACACTTGAAATAATCACCAAGAAGAACATAGGGCAACAATACAGGGACAAGGTATGCATATGACACAGAAAGAGAAGCAGAATTTAAAACTGTGACCCTCTAAAATTACAACTACAGTAGGCAAAAATTATGTCCATGTACCAAATGAACTCAAAGGAAATAAAAAATATCAGGGAGTGAGACTATGGGTGAATTTTCTTAATTTGATGGCTGTTCATGTTCTTAATATAGTGTATATATTGCTAACCACACTGAAAATGCAGGGCTTCCTCCAGCCACAACTATCTTAGCCCCTGTCTACCTACTACAACTCCTTAGAATGCCTTTAAAGTCAGCCCAAAATGAAGCAATAAAAAACCAACCAACCAACCAGAAGGGCTGAGTGACTATGCTTCGTCCAGTCAGAGGTCAGAGGCTTCACTCTCTGCTTGGGCACCCGAAAGGCAGCAGCCTAGAGGCCTGACAGGCCCACCCACTTCTGCCACCTGTCAAGACTTGGTTTGGGTTCTAGACTCCCGGTTTTTTCAGTTAACCCATCCCGTCCATCTTGAAAGAGCTAGCCCAGGCATCGCCTCCTGAGCCTTTCCAGTCAGGCTCAGCTAATGGCCCCTCCTGTGCTCTCACAGCACCTATGCCTACCTCGGCCCCACGCTCTCTATAGAAGACACCAGCTGACTCATCTGTCTCCCACAGCTGAGCCAACACCCAGGACAGGTACACAGTAAGAGATCAGAGAGTTTGTCAAAGTGAACTTAAGAACCCGTAGACAACATTCAGATAAAACACACCCTGCATTAGTAGCTTCCAAATTAAAAAAAAGGAAAGAAAATTTCTTTTCAGGTGCCCTGGAATATTCTGTGTGCTAAGTCACTGGACTCCATAGCAGCCTCTCCCAAAATCAATAGTCCTCATTTCTGAGAACTGAGACTCTAGCCTGCCACCTAGGACAGAGGTCACAATAGCCCCTTCTTGCTCATTGGTGATACATTAGCTCAAACCATATTGAGTTGTAGTTTTGTAAGTAAAAAAAATGGTCAAACATTAGAAATTTCATATGGTTCAACCTAATACTTAGCTTTTAGAAAAGATACTACATAAAGACATAATATTATCCACGCTCTCCATCTGAGTTTTTGTTTTCCCACTAACACCCTAGGCAGAGGAAGCATTCGTTCCGTCTGCCTGCTAAAGCTCCCGCCTAACCTATGGATCTTATAGTCTGAGGGCACAAATCTTTTCATGATGCTCAGCAGATCTTCGTCAGCTTCTCGGCAGTGAATCACCAAGGGCTTCTTTAGAGACACCGCCAGCTGCAGCTGTCTCTCAAATACCTGGGAGAAGACAAAGTAACAACATGTGCAGGTCAGAGTCACTTCAGAATTCTGTTACTTCCAGAACACCCAATCCAAAATGGGCAGCCCCACTGTCTCCAACTCCCTATTTTTAAACTATACTATATAATTTTCAGTGACAGATAAGCCTTACTGGGTCTTATTAAGAGCCAGGTGGTGCTCAAACACTTTAGGTACATTATGACCTGTAACACTCACAAGCACTCTGAGGTAGCAGTTGAAGAAACTGAGGCTTCGAGTGAGGTTAAGTACTTGCAGCTGAAATACTATAGTGCCACCATTCAAACCTGAACATAGGAGTCCACAGAGCAACCACTATGCAATGCTTATTTAGGGTTGCAGGGGCAGAGTGAGGCTCAAGAACAGCAAGTACAAGCCAAATTCCCCTCCCTTCATTACCCCCACCTCTACTTCCAAGAGGTGATCACCTTCCTCACTTTCCACACCTTTTCTCTCTCTCTCACACACACACACACACACAATGAATGCCTGGCTTTCAGATAAATAATATACATATTTTCTTTTTTTTTAATCCTCACCCGAGGACACTTTTTTCCATTTTTTGTTCAGATAGAGTGGGAGGGAGAGAGAGGGAGGGAGAAAGAGGGAGGGAGGGAGGGAGGGAGGGAGAAAGAGGGAGGGAGGGAGAAACATTGAAGTAAAAGTGACACATCGAGTGGCTGCCACCCGCATGACCAACCAGGGCCGGGGACAAACTGCAACTGAGGTACGCGCCCTTAGCGGGAACCAAACCTGGGTCCCTCTGGACCGCAGGCTGACGCTCCAACCGCTGAGCCAAACCAGCCAGGGCTAATTTGCATTTTTTACATCAAATAAAATGCTTTTGGCAATTTGAATCAGATGGTATTCACTTGAGAATGACATTTTCAAGTCTAACACTGGTGCTACCTCTCTCATAATAGAAGCACTGAGCCAATTCTAATTCTGAAGTAACTCTTGTTTAACTTGTGTTTTCAACTAAAGGAAAATGATCATAATAACCAAAATCAACAGGGAAAAAGGTAATTATGTGAGATAATGGAGTTGCTGGCTAATGCTATGGTGGTACTCATTTTGCACTATCTACATGTATCCAATCATCATTCTGTACACCTTAAACTCACACAATGTTATGTCAATTATATCTCAGTAAAAAGCTAGGGGGAAAATGTAATTCTTGGCCATACATTTTTAAAAGGGGGGGGCTACATTTTGGGGGGGAGAAAGAACCAAAATCATAGAATGCTTGGTAGGGGCTTTAAAGATGGGCTAGATCCAATATCTACAGCTGATTGGATCCGCTCCCCAACACACCTGCCATCCTTAAACCCTAAAGAGGCGGACAGCTGCAAAAGATTATAAATCCAACGTTTAATTCCTGCTCCCCAAAAACTTATTCCTTAGGGCAGTTAAACTAGTACAGTTCTTAGGGTGGAATATAACATAGCTGGTAAAAAGCATGTTTTTCAAAGTATATTTCATTTAATAGGAACATGTTCACAAGTGGAAAAATCACTCAAAACTATTACTTTTTTTTAATTTCCTAATTTCTTTTTTAAAAAGTATTTATGTACAACACACTTCCTTGACTTTATGACAGGTGCCTATAAGACATGCTACCAATTTTCCCTTGCAATCCTCTAAGAAACAATGACATTTAAAAAAATAAATTGTTTTGGCCCTGGCCAGGTGGGTCAGTTGGTTGTGCACTGTCCTGTACATCAAAAGGTCAAGGTTCAATCCCCAGTCAAGGCACATACCCAAGTTGTGGGTTTAATCCCCAGTCAGGCCACATATGGGAGACAACCGATAAACATTTCTGTCATACATCAATGTTTCTCTCTCCTCCCCTTTCCTCTTTAAAAAACAAACAAACAAAACATATCCTTAGGTGAGGATTAAAAGTAAATAAATAATGTTTTTGCCCTGGCCACTTTGGCTCAGCGGTTAGAGCGTCGGCCCAGGGACTAAAAAGGCTGCAGGTTAGGTCCTGAGCCCTGGTCTGGGTTATGCAGGAGGCAATAAATCAATGTCTCTGTCTCTGTCTCTCTCTCTCTCTCTCTCACATTGATATTTCTGTTTCTTTCTCACCCCCCCCCCCACCTCCCCCTCCCTCCCTTCTACTCTATTAAAAAAAAAAATGTCAATGGAAAAATATCCTTGGGTGAGGATTAACAAAATAATTAAAAATAAATATAATAATAATAATGTTTTGTAAAACACTTCTGAATTTCAAAGACATTAAGATGGAAGGATAGTTAGTGGGCAGGAGCTTACAGGCTAGAGCTACATAGAGCATTTGTTCTTACCAGAAACCTGGTTGAAAAACGCAGCAGTGAATGAAGTACAGAAAAATTATTTACCCAGCATAATTACCCTCTTCTGCCTGCATAAGCTCAGGTTCTCACTGATCCATTATTTCCAGGAATTCCAGAGCTAATCAGTCTTGTTTGGGGTGGCCCTCCCAAGCAGCTCTTACATACTCATTACCTTAATACTTAATTTCAGTCAAACACAAAAACAGACAGAAGCAGCCTGGTTCAGCCAGTCCAGCCCAGCCCAACTGGAGAGGGGCAGTCAATTCACTCTGGCTTTTCAACTCCAAAAACCAAGAGATTCTGATAATCATATTGGCTAATATGTGCAACTCACACACAAACTATCCAGGATCTAACTCTTAGGAACTAAATAGGAAAGTAAATAGTTAAATCTATGAACACACAGATAAGCAAGGGAAAGTTAACAGTGGTTTGCTCTGGATAGCAGAATAATTACTGATCCCCCCCAATTCTTTTGCTTTTTTCTATTTTCCAATCTTTCTGGAAAATATTAGGTAACAGAAACCAAGCTCTCTTTATTTATTTATTTATTTATTTATTTATTTATTTATTTATTTTTTTTTTTTATCCTCACCCAAGGACATTTTTCCATCTTTTGTTCAGACAGAATGGGAGGGAGAGAGAGAGAGAGAGAGAAACATTGACGTGAAAGGGACACATCAAGTGGTTGCCACCCGTACAACCCAACCAGGGCCGGGGACAAACTGCAACCGAGGTACACGCCCTTAGCAGGAACCAAACCCGGGTCTCTCCGACCGCAGGCTGACACTCTAACGGCTGAGCCAAACCGGCCAGGGCCCAAGCTCTCTCTTATAAGGCACCACAGTGAGCTAGCACCCCCTCACTTGGCCAGATACGGTCCTTCCATAGGTTTTTTTCCTTCCCTTTACAGGTAAAATATTCAGCAGGACACACCAAGAACTTGCCAACTACTCTACTTTTAGGCAAATGCAACTCAATGCCAACATCCCACTAGTGTACTTCTTGTTTTGGTGTCCAAGTTTAGATTTACATCAAGAACATGGCATCCACTTCCTCTAGTGTGCTCCAGTAATACAGACACCTTATCTATCTCTTCTACACACAGTTCAGCAATCCCCCTGCCAGTAATTTATTTTCTCTGAATCACTATCTTCCAGTCTTGAATACCATCTCACCAAGCCAAATACCCACAATATTCTATTTATCACCCTATGCTATAACTTCAAGTTCAGTCAGTATGCACTAGGTACTTCTATATGCAGATCTGGTACCATGATGATTTAATGAAGGGAAAAGTTACCGTGAAATATTTAGCACATTTCCTGGCACACAGGCATTCAATAAACATCAGCTATATAGTTAAATATAATGCTCCTGCCCAGCTGGTTTGGCTTAGTGATTGAGCATTCACCCATGCATCAAGAGGTTACGAGTTCGATTCCCAGTCAAGGCACATGCCTGGGTTGCTGGCTCAATCCCCAGTAGGGGAAGAACAGGAGGCAGCTGATGGATGTTTCTAACTCTGTAAAAATCAATAAAACATACACACACACACACACACACACACACACACACACACACACACAGAGTGTTCCTCTTCCTCTTTCCAGTCACCTTAGCGTCCACATTTTTTTTTAATCCTCACCCAAGGACATTTTTTCGATATGTTGTGGAAGAGAGAAAAAGAGAAACATCAACGTGAAAGGGACACATCGAGTGGCTGCCACCCGCATGACCAACCAGGGCTGGGGACAAACTGCAACCGAGGTACGCACCCTTAGCGGGAACCAAACCCGGGTCTCTCCAGACCACAGGCCGACGCTCCAACCACTGAGCCAAACCAGCCAGGGCAGTGTCCACATTTCTGAACTATGATCCTCTTTCCAACCAATCAATATATCTCTATCACATCTATGTTTCTCTCTCTCTCCCTCCCTCCCTCCCACTCTATCTGAAAATCAATGAAAAAATATCCTGAGGTGAGGATTAAAAAGAAAAAAAATCATTTGGAACCCTCTGAAGTTGTTTCTTATGAAAATTAACTGTTTTAAGCCTGGCATATGTATTCGCTGTCATGGACAACTGTATTCAAATACAAAGGTCTAGGGTCTTATGCTAAAGCAGAAGGGCACCATACCTTCCTTGAAATTTTTCTCTTTGATCAAAGGAAAATTAAGAAACCACTGAATCTAGGAAATTCCTCCTCTTAATTCACAGATGCCAGTATCAATAGGGCACAACATCAGTGCACTGCTGAGGTTGACCAAGGTGGACTGGGACAGCACCAAAGGGAAAACTGGTACCAAATTCTGTCCAGGCTGGAACCCACTCTCTCTCTCCAAGGCCTGAGCATATTGGGCATGCAGACTTAGACCTAAAAGGTATCAACAGGAAGACAGCACACAACAAATTCAACCTGGCAACATGCAGTGATGAAGTGGGAGGGTCTTTCTCCTTGTCTTGCTCCTTCCTAAGTCAGAAACTTCCACTGAAATGCTATAACTACTCATACCATGCCAAATCCCTATGCTCAAAAGATACTGAGAGGGAAAAATATTAAGATGGTAATAATTGTTATCTCTAGCGGAGTGGGAAATGATCACCTTTATACATTTTGGTCCGCAGGCAGACACTCTAACCACTGAGGCAAACCGGCAAGGGCTATACATTTTTGTAATTTCCAAATATTCTACAATGGGCATACTTAAATTTAAAGTCAAAATAAAAGCCCTGGCTAGTTTGGCTCAGCGGTTTGAGCATCAGCCTGCAGACCAAAGGGTTGTAAGTTTGGTCCCTGGTCAGGGTCGTGTAGGAAGCAATCAATCCATGTGTCCCTTACTGATGTCTCTCTCTCCCTCCTTCCTTTTCACTTTCTCTAAAAAAAGCAACGGAAAAATATCCTCAGGTGAGGATTAACAAAAAACAAAATTCAGAATAAAAATTAATTAAAGAAACAAAATGTGTTGCTTACCAAGAAGGAAAACAAATCTTTTGACTCATCATTAGCCTTAAGAAGTCACACTCAGCTGGTGTGGCTCTGTGGATTTAGCATCATCCTATGAACCAAGAGGTTCGATTTCTGGTCAGGATACAAGCCTGGATTTTGGGCTTGATTCCTAGCAGAGGGCATGCAAGAGGCAGCCAATCAATGTTTCACTCTCATTAATATTTCTCTCTCCCTTTCCCTTCCTCTCTATCTAAAAATCAATAAAAACATATTTTTTTAAAAGTCACAAAGTACCTTTCTCTGTCCTACCCGCCCCCCTTACATAATAAAGCTGAAAGAAATAAATAGCTTGCAAAGAACTTGAGAAATGACATCTAGATGGTCTGGATAAGAGCAATTAAATTTTTAGGGATTCTAAATTCTTTAGTTCCAAAAGTAGAGAACCTCCCCGCAAAAAAATGAAAAACCTACTTAGATTTTAACAGCTGAAAGAGGAATTAAAACTGTAAGCAAGTGGGCTGCCATCACGAACACAGTAACAATCCAGACCAGGAATTTCATGACCAACAGACTACTTTAGCAGAAACAAATGGTCATTGACATCCTTCATCCTAGGAAGGCTAGCCAAAATGTGTAAGACCACACCAGATGTCATCTTAGTGTTTGGATTCAGAACCCATTTTGGTGGTGGCAAGACAAGTGGCTTTGGTGTGATTTATGAATTCCTGGATTATGGAAAGAAAAATGAACCCAAACATAGACTTGCAAGACAGGGCCATATGAGAAGTCAACCTCAAGAAAACAAAGAAAGGAACCCAAGAACAGAATGAAGAATGTCAAGGGGACTACATAGGCCATTGCTGGTGCTGGCAAAAAGGAGGAGTCAAGATTCTTCAGTGACTTTATCTGTGGATTGTACAGATTTTTCATGAGGAATAATAAGCTAAGAACTTATATTAAAAAAAAAAAAAAAACAAAAACTGTAAGCAAGTTAAAGAGAACCTCATTACCTTGTGCTGTTCTGGGACAGGCGTGGTACATTTATAAGAGTAATCCAAGCCCATTTCCCCAAATGCCACAGCCTTGGGATGCCTTAAGGCTTGCAAAAGATTTCTTTCTTGACTCTCACTGTAGTAACGTGCAAAATGAGGGTGACAGCCAAAGGCTCCCCATACCAGATCCTCTTTCAACAGGTCCTCCCATAGGCTATCTGTCAGTGTCCTGGGGTCACAGAAGTCAGAGATGCAGCCCTGAAATTCCTTAGGGAAGGTGCTGCTATAAATTCTTCTGAACTTGTTAAAGGTCCCTTGGAAAGACAACTTGGAATAGAGCATGTCCAAGTGACAATGGGTATCAATGAAACCCGCCTCTAGGTCTGGCTCCAGATGGCTTCTTGGCAGAGAGCTAGATGTGTGTCCTTCACAAGAACGCAGTGGTGTCTCCTCCTGGAATGTTCTTTTCTCTTTCACCTGCTCTTCTAAGCTTCTGGAGAAACGAAATGAGCGAGAATTCTTGGATCTGCCTTCCTCTGCCACCTCCAGATCTCTGGAGGCGTTCTGGGAGCTCACTGTAGAATTGAAGGAATAATCCCTCAGGAGGCCCCGGCTGCTCCCCCAAGCCTGCAATGTGTCACTGCTGCTGCCGCCCATGGAGGTGTAGCTATGTTTGCGACTGTTGTTCCAATAGTTGGCATAGTCACACCAAGGACTACTGTACAAGTGAGCAGGGTACATGACATAGTCAGTGGGGAAGGCAGAAGGCTCTGGAACTGATGAGAGTTTCAGTGAGATGGGCTCCTCCTGAGAGAATCTGACTGTAGAGACCTCGTCCACATCAGACCAGTCACTTCCTGAAGAGGTGTGCTCTATCACCACCTCCCTTTCTTTAGGCTGCAGAAAAGAAACAACAAAGAGTTAGCCTTCTTGTGTGAAGACAGCCTCCCATACTCTGTGATCTGTAGAGCATAGGCTCTGGCTTGATATTTGGTCATGGTGAAGGCGTTACGTCGGCTCATAGCTTACCTGTCACCTAGTTTCCTTATAATTTCCAGAAAGTGAGCCAGGTTACAGCTATGAATAGTCAAATCAGGCTCGGGGGATAAACTCATACACCATCCATCTCTAAAGAGTATGCGATACCTGCACTCCCTCTCTGAATGATCCCTCTTGAGAAAAACTGCTGTGTACTGGGGGTTTTACAGAAAAGCAGTGCCAGGCATCTCATCTCTAACAACATACTTCTAATACATTCAACATGTAAAACCACACAGCTGTGGCAGGTTTTTTTAAAAATTGATTTTAGAAAGAGAGAGACAGACAGACAGACATCAATCGGTTGCCTCCCATATGCGCTCTGACCAGGAATTAAACCCGTCACCTTTCAGTGTACGGAACAACAGTTCAACTAAGCCACCTGACCAGGGCTCACTCACTCCTTCTTAATAGCATAAGTTTATCTGGATGTTAAGTCTGCCCAGATGGAAGTTAATTTTCCAGACTCTCTTGCAGCCAGGTGTTGGTCAGGTTTCTAGATTCTTATCTACAGATATAAGCAGATAACATGTGGAAAACTTCTGAGCCAAGCTCTTAAAAGGGAGCGAATGTACTTTCTTCTTCTCTTTTCCCCTTCCTCCTTCCTACTGGCTGGACTGGTCAATGTAACGTACTCTGAGTCCTATCAGAGTAGCCATCTCAGAGGACAAGATGGAAACTGTGTTGAGGAGCAGCAGAGCATCAAGAGACAAGGCACCAGAATCCCTCACACCAGAGTCATCTTCCTCAAGCCAAACTTCAGTTTTGTTTAAGCCACTGTTATTTTGGCCTTTGTACAAAAAATCCTAACAAACATAAATCCTTTAAAAAAAAAAAAAAAAGATAGCACTGAATTGAGGTTTCTTAATAACTCTGAAAGGTATGTTAGAAGAGAACCATCAATTTGTTGCCTGGAATCCTGAGTGACTAAAGCACTGCTTTAATGAGTAACACTTAGGATTAAACTAGAAAGACTAAATACAAGATTTAATCAAGAGAACTAAAAACCCCATGCTTGGCAAGAGCAAGACTCACATTTTGGCTTTCTAAATGAGTGTCAGAGTCATCTAAGAACTCCAGGGTTGGAGAGCGCTTGTCAATAACTGTCCTTCGATCACCACGTGGCTCCTCGCTGGGTTTCTCCTGAGGGTCTATCACCACTCTCCTATCACAGAGGCTGCTACTCTCCAGCACAGCCTTTTTTCCCTCTTTCACTCGGACCTCCAGGGCTGACTCCTTCTCTTTCTGAGGAGCAGACACAGTGACACTCCCAGCTGGTCCTTCTCCATGGCTGGGACGCTCTCCTGTGTTTGGTTTTGCCCTAGTGGCAGTCTCTCCCTTCCTTTTTGGCATCGACTTTCCCAGGATGCCCTGGATAGCCTTCAGATAGATCATTGTAGAGCCTTGGTCTCGCACTCTATCCCTCTTCTTTTTCTGAACCTCGTTTGGTTCCTCAATTCTATCATTTTGACCTTCAGCTTCAGCTGAAAACTCAGAGTTTGTGGAATTACGAGAACTATCTTTGGAATTAACCTGGAAGAAAAAAACAGATCATGAAAAGGTAATTTCATACATGAAGCACTTGACGAATTAAATACTAGTAGAGGCTCCACCAATCAAAGGGAAAGTGATAGTAGCTAAGACAAAAATTCTCTGAGTGATGGTTTCCATCCCACCCACTGTAAAAGGGACTGCACTGCTATTTCTTTTTTCTTTAATCCTCACCTGAGGACATGCTTTTGTAGATCGAAGAGGAAGAAAAAGAGAGGAAGGGGAGGGAGAGGGAGAAATATCAATATAAAAGTTAAATATTGCTCTGGCCAGTTTGGCTCAGCAGTTAGAGCATTGGCCTGTGGACCAGACAGTCCTAGGTTCAGTTCCCACTAAGGGCACGAACCTCTGGTTGCAGTTTGTCCCCAGCCCCGGTTGGGGTCGTGTGGGTAGCAACTAGTCGATGTGTCCCTCTCACATCAATATCTCTCTCTCTCTCTTCTCCCTCCCACTTTATCTGAAGATAAACACAAAAATGTCCACAGGTGAGGATAAAAAAAAAAAGAGTGAAATATTGATCACTTGCCTCCTGCACATGTCCCAACCACAGATCCAACCTGCAACCCGGCTATGTGTCCTGACCAAGAATTGAACCCATGACCTTTTCGTGTACTGGACAACGCTCCAACCAACTGAGCCACATTGGCCAGGATGTGCTGCTATTTCTTAATATTCACTTTCTCACACTTATCAGATAATATCCTTATACTGCAGTGGGAAGGAATGAGCAGAGAGATCAACAGTATGCTAACACTAGACTGCAAGCTCCTTCCTTGAGGGCAAGGACTACCACATACTTTAGAATACACCCTGGCAAAATAGAAACTTAACATATTAGTACTGGAAGGGTCCCTAGAAGCCAGCTAACCCAATCCCAGCTAATAGTCAAGAAAACCCAGGGGGTCCTCTAAGAAGTGAATCTTCTGACTCCTGAGGGCAGTATGCTTCCCACTACACCCCCACCCCCAGCTTCCTTAAAGTTCTCTACAAACTCCTCCTCCCAAATCAAACCTTGGTGTTGGAAGGTACCTTGGTTCCCAGGATCAATCAAGAGATCTAACCCCTTACACCAAATCTGCTCAGAGATACTGGTAGTCTCAGCCCCTTTCTTCTCTTCTCCTCCACATACAACCATTCCAGAGTACACAGGAAAGAAGCTAGATTATTAGCTCACCACATTAATTTGCTGTGAAACTCAGATCCAGTTTAATTCCAGCCTGATGTAAGAATGTGCCATATTTGAAAAAAAAAAAAAAAGAATGTGCCATAAATTTTCCCTGAGAACCACCCCTAAAGCAGTGCAGTCCATACATCCCACCTATTACCTGCATTTACCATTATCCCAAGGCATTCTACAGCCCCTACAACTTGCACTTCTAATTCATTTGTATTAAATTCCTCTCAGACAGACAAACAATTGAAGAAAGACACTCCACACTAAACTTTTAATCTTTTTCCTCTACTGAGGAAAAGTGGAGTCTACTACAAGAGATGTCCATCAATAAGGGAATGGTTAAATTAAGTAAACACGATACAGTTTTTTTTATTCAGAGAGAGAAAAAGGGAGAGGGAGAGAGAGATAGAAACATCAATGAGAGAGAACATGGACTGGCTGGCTGCCTCCTGCATGCCCTCCACTGGGGATTGGGCCTACAACCTGGGCATGTGCCCTGACCAGGAATTGAACTGTCAACCTCTTGGTGCATGGGTCAATGCTCAACCACTGAGCCACACCAGCCGGGCAACAGGATACAGCTTTTAAAAAGAATGAGGGAGCTCTGATATCCATGCTATACAGTAAGTAACTAACAACCATAGTGTAATCTCACATCTAAAAAGACAAAAATGCCTTACGTGTATATATTTGCAAATAAAGTCTGAAAGATATCTTTGGGGATTAAGGGAAAAGAGGAAAAGGGGCTTAAGCTCTTATTTTATATGCTTTTTGTATTACTTGAATTTTCCCCCCAAGAATCACATATCTTTGTTTAAACAAAAAATCATTAAGCCTTTGGAAATACATATATCTAGATAGTATTTTTCTCGAAGTACTTCAATTTTCGGCAGCTCTTAACTTTGGGGAGATAGGAAATGTTGCTTTTACTTTCATTTTGAATCTCTGAATTTTCTAACATGTTAGACATTTTTAAAAATGCCTACAGGGATTATTTGGGAAAGGAAATTATGGGCCATTTTTGTTTTCTTTATATCCTTCCATATTTAAGAAAATCCAGTAATATTAAAAATAAAAATGAAGGCTCCCTGAGCCTGCCCTACAGGACAGAGTCACACTTCCCAGCCCACTGCTTCACTACTTGCTTCTCTGACTGGCCCATCACACCCTTATACACTGTCACTGGCACATCTTATTTCCTCTGCTTGCCATACCCTTGCCTCAGTCTCATTTCATACTTTAAGGCCCCACACCCTTCTTTGACTCCCCCAACTCTGCCTGTGGGACCAACTGCCCCTCTTGCTTCCCCAGGCCTGGTGTAAAACATAGGAAGGCGTGGTCCACAGCAAACTGAGGAGCCCATGCACTTCCTGAATGACCACAGCTTCCCACCTCAAGCCACCTGCAGCCACTTGGAAGTACAAACCTCGAGTTACAGATTCTGGTTTTTCAAGTAAAACAAGAAATCTCAAACTTAATGCATTTTTAATCCTGTCAGCAAATATTTATTGAACATTTACTATGTGCCAGCAGGCCTGGTTCTGGATCTGGAGTTTAGCATTCAATAAAACATACAAAAATATGCCTGCTTCCTGGAGTTTATATTCTAGTTGGTGAGGGAAGAGAAAATCAAAGGAAAAGCAGTATATATGTTAGAGAGTGAAAAGTGCTAGGGAGAAAAATAAAACAGGAAAGGGAGTAGAAACTGTGGAAGGGGAGGAGGTCACTCAAGTCTTGAGTTCAAGGCAGAGGTTTGAACGAGAGGCACATATACATACTGTTATTAATCTACATCTGAGGATATTTTTCCTTTGATTTTTATAGAGTGGCAGAAGATAGAGATGAAGAGAAAAAAGAAAAACATTGATGTGACTCTTGATCGGCTGCCTCCCACATGACCCAGGGCAGGGGATTGAACCTACGTCCTTTCAGTCCACAGGCAGAAGGTCTAACCGCAAAGCCAAACCGGCCAGAGCGTAGAGGCATATATTTTTAATGTGAACTTACCAAAATGTTAAATACTGTGAGGACCTAGCAGGTCACATTCTGATTATGAACTGCCAGTTTGCAAACCCTGGTAGAGAAGACCAGGACTGTAGTTGTGGGAGTAAAAAAAGATAAAGAATGCAGTTGTCCCTCGCCACTTCACGCTTTGACTTTCGTGGCTTCACTCTATCACAGTTTTTTCTTTCCTTTTTTTTTTTTTAATCCTTCTTTTTTTTTTTTAATCTTTATTGTTGAATGTAAAATGTATTACAGATGTTCCACATTTCCCCCCAATGATCCCCTCCTCCCCCCTCCCGCCTTTTCCCACACTATTGTCTGTGTCCATTGGTTATGCATATAAGTTCTTTGGTTTATTTCTTCCCACCCCCCACCCCCCAAACCCTTTCCCTTTGAGGTTTGCCAGTCTAGCAATGAATTTGTACTTCTTAATCTCTTCACTTTTTCACCCATTCCCCCAACCCCCCTCCCATCTAGCAACCAACAAAATGTTCTCTGTATCTATGAGAATGTTTCTGTTCTATCTGTTCGTTTTGTTTGTAGATTCCATTGTTGATAGATACGTATTCACTGCCATTTTGTTTGTTCATATATTTTATCTTTTTCTTCAAAAAGACCCTTCATCATTTCATATAATAACGGTTTGGTGGTGATTAACTCCTTTAACTTTTTCTTATCTGGGAAAGTCTGTATATGGCCATCGATTCTAAATGACAGCTTTGCAGGATAGAGTAATCTTGGTTGTAGGTTCTTGCTCTTCATCACTCTGAATATTTCTTGCCACTCCCTTCTGGCCTGCAAAGTTTCTTTTGAGAAATCAGCTGACAGCCTTATGGGAACTCCCTTGTAGGTAACTAGGTGCCTTTCTTTTGCTGCTTTTAAGATTCTCTTGTTGTCTTGAACCTTTTGCATTTTGATTATGTGTCTTGGTGTGGGCCTCTTGGGGTTCATCTTGGTTGGGACTCTCTGTGCTTCCCGGACCTGTATGTCTGTTTCCTTCACCAAATTAGCAAAGTTTTCTGCCATTATTGTTTCAAACAGGTTTTTGATTTCTTGTTCTCGCTCTTCTCCTTCTGGCACCCCCAAGATGCGAATGTTGGCATGCTTGAAGTTGTCCCAGAGGCTCCTTACACTATCCTCATTTTTTTGGATTTTTTTTTCTTTTTGCTGTTCTGATTGGGCATTTTTTGCTTCCTTATATTCCAAATCGATGGTTTGCTTCTTGGATTTACGTACTCTACTACTGAAGCTGTGTAAATTATTATTTCAGTTAGTGCCTTCTTCATTTATGACTGTGCATCCTTAATTTCTGACTGGTCCTTTTTATGCTCTTGAGGCCCACACTAAGTTCACAGATGTTCTCACTAAGTTCATTGAGCATCCTTATAAGCAGTATTTTGAACTCAGCATCTGTTAGGTTGCTTATCTCCCTTTCGCTTAGTTCTTTTCTTGGGGTTTTGTTCTGTTCTTTCATTTGGGACCTGTTTCTTTGTCTCCTCATTTTGGCTCCCTCCCTGTGTTTGTTTCTGTGTATTACTTAATGAGAAGTATGGGGCTAGCTGAGACCAGATGCTGCTCGTTTGAAAGAATTTAGGAAAAACTTGAAGCAGGATCCAAGACAGGCCAATCCTATGGTTAAGCAAGTGGCAACAGCTTGGGTGGGCCTGAAAGTGGGGTGGGGTGGGGTGGGGTGGGGTGGGGTGGGGTGGGGCCGGGCCTCAGGGAGTCACCAGGGCAGGGCTACCAGTATGAGCCAGGTTGCTGGAGTCCCAGATATGGCTTCTGTCTACCGCACCAGGGAAGG